CAGCCTGCTGTAGACAGATATATCAGCCTGTATGACGTCACCTACACTGATCTGTGTGATGGTTCTATGGCCTGCTGAGGAAGATATATGTCAGTCTATCACCTACCCTGATTTCCTGTCCGATGGCCTCGACAGTCGACTCTAGGGCCCGCGTGCCTCTCACAGCCTCGTCCTCGACGGTCTTCACTGTCTTCAGCAGCGACGTCACGTTTGTCACCATCACCTGACACAACATGGACAACATTAACAGTGGACACAGCAGCAACTACACACAGTGATGAACAACAAACATACAAACCTCACCCTCAACCCAAAGCCAGAACATGATATTACTGAACCACAGCACACCCCTATCTATGTTACAGCAAATATATCAGTCTGAAATATTCCTAAATGTTACCCAAAATGGCTTTGAGTAATTCCATGTGGCTTATACTAATCATGATAAATAGGTAAGCAAATATAGCCCACATTAACATAGAAATCAGGTTGAAGAATAAATGGAATGAATCAGAACTTAATTAGACCAAAGCCACTTCAACATAGTAAACCTAACTATGCTCAACAACAAAGTTAGAGATTATGAATATTTGGTGATATTTTTTGCAGTAAAGACTGAGCACACAATTTCATCAAAATATTCCAAATATTATTCACGATTCCTGACTTTTTGGGTTCTGTATATGTGTCGTTGAGTCACTTTTCTGCAGCTACATAAAGATCAACCCAGGGTCATGTCTTCGCCAAACTTCAGCAATCAACAAATTGGTACTACTGATGGAATCGAATAAGGGAACAATGAAAAGCAGAGGGAAACAAGCTTTACTGTCAGTACATTTGAAATAGCGTGCATACAATTCAAACACGTCAGAATCAAATGTTGAGATGTGTTTTTGTGCATTGTTTCCAACACATATTTGATGGACAAGGCTGGGGACCCATGATAGCATATTATTTTACTGTGTCTAAAACTAAATGTTCCCTTATTCATTCCATCTGTATATATATACAAACTTTCAACCAGCAGAAAGTTTCGCTTCCTATGACATGAGTCATATGAATGCTGTAGACTAATATTATCCCTGCAGTCCCCATAACAATCCTGGCAGCCATGTCTAAGCTGCAATCCCTGCTATGCATACAGCAGTGCAAAGACAATCCCTGTTTCGTATACACCAGTACTAGGACAATCCCTGTTTTGTAGACACCATCACTAGGACAATCCCTGCTATGCATACAACAGTGCAAAGACAATCCCTGTTTCGTATACACCAGTACTAGGACAATCCCTGCTTCGTGAACCCCAGTACTAGGACAATCCCTGTTTCGTTTACACCAGTACTAGGACAATCCCTACTTCGTGAACACCAACACAAGACAATCCCTGTTTCGTTTACACCAGCACTAGGACAATCCCTGTTTCGTTTACACCAGCATAAGTCAATCCCTGCTTCGTATACACCAGTACTAGGACAATCCCTGTTTTGAATACACCAGCACTAGGACAATCCCTGCTATGTATACACCAGCACTAGGGCAATCCCTGCTACGTATACATCAGCACTAGGACAATCCCTTCTTGTATACACCAACACCAGACAACCCCAGCTGCATATACACCAGCACTAGGACAATCCCTTCTTTCGTATACACCTTTACTAGGACAATCCCTTCTTTCGTATACACCAGCTCTAGGACAATCCCTTCTTGTATACACCAACACCAGACAACCCCAGCTGCATATACACCAGCACTAGGACAATCCCTTCTTTCGTATACACCAGCACTAGGACAATCCCTTCTTTCGTATACACCAGCACTAGGACAATCCCTTCTTTCGTATACACTAGCACAAGACAATCTCTGCTTCGTATACACCAGCTCTAGGACAATCCCTTCTTTCGTATACACCAGCTCTAGGACAATCCCTTCTTTCGTATACACCAGCTCTAGGACAATCCCTTCTTTCGTATACACCAGCTCTAGGACAATCCCTTCTTTCGTATACACCAGCTCTAGGACAATCCCTTCTTTCGTATACACCAGCTCCAGGACAATCCCTTCTTTCGTATACACCAGCTCTAGGACAATCCCTTCTTTCGTATACACCAGCACTAGGACAATCCCTTCTTTCGTATACACCAGCTCTAGGACAATCCCTTCTTTCTTATACACCAGCTCCAGGACAATCCCTTCTTTCGTATACACCAGCTCTAGGACAATCCCTTCTTTCGTATACACCAGCTCCAGGACAATCCCTTCTTTCGTATACACCAGCTTTAGGACAATCCCTTCTTTCGTATACACCAGCATTATGAAACTCATGTGTGGCTCTGGTCAATACATACCACTTACACAGGATCCTCCAACCCTGAACACAAGTATGTGGGCCTCACATCAGTCCATACCCCTTACATCATAAACTGTCCAACACCACTTAGATTTCCACAGTACACCAGCACTTCATGTCACTATAGGTCGGTCATACAAGGCATTAACCCGGGTGCTGCTGCAACGAGGCATCAGATTCCAACCCTCAAATGATGCTGTAGCAGTATCATAGTTCAGTGTCTGACAACCTAAGCAACTGAATCTGGAGCAAACAGTGATCAGCATCGACCCGCACCGTTGTGCATTGAGAGCTAGAGGGCTACAGGTAACGATACTTTTTAAAAAAATAGTCTATATCCAAGAATGATCCATACAAAGCCAGGCCCAACTTTCCCTATTTTCTTGCCTGTTACAACACAGAAAGCAATCCTGATTATCCTAGGGCAAACAAGAGATATTTACTATTGCAAGAGATGATATACATATCCATTTTGGCCAACCAATCCCCATGTTATCGCCTGTTACAACAAGAAAGGAGCTTGTGGTGTAGCTAGATCCCTCCTGTTCAACTACCATCCTTGAGAAAACCCTCGTCAGCAGCCATTCTGACCAACCAATCCCCATGTTATCGCCTGTTACAACAAGACAGGTGCTTGTGGTGTAGCTAGATCCCTCCTGTTCAACTACCATCCTTGAGAAAACCCACGTCAGCAGCCATTTTGCCCAACCAATCCCCATGTTATCGCCTGTTACAACAAGACATGTGCTTGTGGTGTAGCTAGATCCCTCCTGTTCAACTACCATCCTTGAGAAAACCCACGTCAGCAGCCATTTTGCCCAACCAATCCCCATGTTATCGCCTGTTACAACAAGACAGGTGCTTGTGGTGTAGCTAGATCCCTCCTGTTCAACTACCATCCTTGAGAAAACCCACGTCAGCAGCCATTTTGCCCAACCAATCCCCATGTTATCGCCTGTTACAACAAGACAGGTGCTTGTGGTGTAGCTAGATCCCTCCTGTTCAACTACCATCCTTGAGAAAACCCTCGTCAGCAGCCATTCTGACCAACCAATCCCCATGTTATCGCCTGTTACAACAAGACAGGTGCTTGTGGTGTAGCTAGATCCCTCCTGTTCAACTACCATCCTTGAGAAAACCCACGTCAGCAGCCATTTTGCCCAACCAATCCCCATGTTATCGCCTGTTACAACAAGACATGTGCTTGTGGTGTAGCTAGATCCCTCCTGTTCAACTACCATCCTTGAGAAAACCCACGTCAGCAGCCATTTTGCCCAACCAATCCCCATGTTATCGCCTGTTACAACAAGACAGGTGCTTGTGGTGTAGCTAGATCCCTCCTGTTCAACTACCATCCTTGAGAAAACCCACGTCAGCAGCCATTTTGCCCAACCAATCCCCATGTTATCGCCTGTTACAACAAGACAGGTGCTTGTGGTGTAGCTAGATCCCTCCTGTTCAACTACCATCCTTGAGAAAACCCACGTCAGCAGCCATTTTGCCCAACCAATCCCCATGTTATCGCCTGTTACAACAAGACAGGTGCTTGTGGTGTAGCTAGATCCCTCCTGTTCAACTACCATCCTTGAGAAAACCCTTGTCAGCAGCCATTTTGACCAACCAATCCCTATGTTATCGCCTGTTACAACAAGACAGGTGCTTGTGGTGTAGCTAGATCCCTCCTTTTCAACTACCATCTTTGAGAAAAACCACGTTTGTAGCCATTTTGACCAACCAATGCCTAGTTATCGCCTGTTACAACAAGACAGGTGCTTGTGGTGTAGCTAGATCCCTCCTGTTCAACTACCATCCTTGAGAAAACCCTTGTCAGCAGTCATTTTGACCAACCAATCCCCATGTTATCGCCTGTTACAACATGACAGGTGCTTGTGGTGTAGCTAGATCACTCCTGTTCAACTACCATCCTTGAGAAAACCCTTGTCAGCAGCCATTTTGACCAACCAATCCCCATGTTATCGCCTGTTACAACAAGACAGGTGCTTGTGGTGTAGCTAGATCCCCGTTACCCTAGACACACCCAGCAGCAGCTGTGAGGCTGTGTGACACACTGACTATATTTGACCAACCAATCCCATGTAATCTCCTGTTACAACATGACAGGTGCTTTTGGTGTAGCTAGATCCCCATTACCCTAGACACACCCAGCAGCAGCTGTGAGGCTGTGTGACACACTGACTATATTTGACCAACCAATCCCATGTAATCGCCTGTTACAACAAGACAGGTGCTTGTGGTGTGACTAGATCCCCGCTACCCTAGACACACCCAGCAGCAGCTGTGAGGCTGTGTGACACGCTGACTACGTTTGTTAGTCACACAAGCAGAGAAAACAAGGACAGCGAAGCACGGACAGTGTTTATTTATTTCTACATGACAATACACAAATAATACTTAGCTCAATAGTCAGAAAAATAGGCTAAAAATGAACAACTGCTTACAAACTTTTATATCAAATATACTGACTTACACCTCGGTATTTAACAAACAACACAAAGATGAAATTTAGTTCAAGAATGGTTTTAAGTGGGACATCAATTAGAGACATATTTTAGGTAATTTGTGGCTTAATTGACAAATATTTTGGGAAAAAAAGTACTTTCACACTGCGATGAATGTTATTTCTAAACGAAAATGTCACAGGCAAATATAACATGACATGTCTCTACACAAATGATATGTATGATATTCTGTATACAGCTATATACGTTATCTGAGACATTCAGCTCCAAGTATATAGTACACAACCACAAGTTTACTGAACACAGGTAGGAATATCAATATTTTAAATATGGACAAAAATAACCAAACTTTAACACTTACATTCTTGAGTGGTTGATAATCATATACAATAAAAATATTTTTGGATTATTTTTGAAATAAACTCAGCACAAATCATGCAAACACCAACAAAGGCTTACGTACCTCATGCTCTATGTTGAAACTGAAATGTTTCTATCCAGTCAATCTGTCGGTAATTCTAATTTATTTAAAAAAATAAAAAATGGACTACAAAATATTTTGAAAATAAAAAACAGATACATATTTCAATGAAGTTCATAAATATTTTCTTGCTTCTTGGGTATAACTACTTAATGTGACGGAAGTTCCCCAACCAATTTCTGGATCCCACCTCAAAAAGAGGCTCAGAATACACTTCTTAAAATCTGACTTTTCCAAAGCCCACTTTGTTAAAACTCTGCTTAAACGTTTCAGTTGCTGGAGTATAGTATGACTGTGATTGCCCTCTGTTAAACAGGGCAGTTCTGTTACATGGCTACGGAATCTCTAGGCGAGCTGTTATGTCTGACTATGTGCTCTAACACCATGCAATCCTCAGCTCCAGTGCATATTAACAACCAATGAAAAGGCAGCATCAATGATTTCAGCCAATCAGGCATGATGTTCACTAATATGAAGGACGACAACCATTCATAAAGGGGGGTAACTCTAATGTTCGATTCTAAGGGGAGGTTACTCTACAGGTGCTGAACTGGCAAACAAGTGCAGTTAATCATTTAACAAAGTTTCAAGGCACTTTTGAATATTCTTTGGTATTGGTTATCAACAAATGTAATGATGTTAATGATTCTGATCTAGATGATGGAACCAGGTAAGCATACACAACAAAGACAGGTCTATCCCACACAACAGACACTGAAGTGCAATAGCCGGCCGACCGTTTCTCGGACAGGCGGCTACGACGCACACGCACTTCATGCGAACAAAGAACGTAAAAACCTGACATCGGCAGAGTCAATTACTCTTGACCTCTGAAACCACGGAAAGGAAACATAAACATCAACACAGAGTCAACTGAAAATGAAATCTTACAGCACCCTACCTAGCTGAGATTTAACAAGGATTTATACCATTCACGTTTCCTCATAGAACAGTTCAAGTTTGTAAGCAGTTTTATCATGAATACAGAAAATAAATAAAACAAAACAGCATATTAAGAATCGGAGCTACAGATCTTGGAAGGATTCCGCGTGAATGGAAGGATTTCTGGGTGTTGCTGTCACAAACCATGGACTTGTTCCAATTTCATTCCAAACTGAGAATTTTTACTGACAGCTGCTGCACCCTTGGGGCAGATTATTGGCCCCTTGGCAGGTCGAGATACATTCCTGACTAAGAGTAAACATTTCCTTTTCTGGCCTGTTTCAAGAATGATCTAAGAATGCCTAACTGGAATCGATTCCAGTCAAAGATGAGGCATTTCACATTTTTGAGACAATGCGATGGTTGACAATTCGTTTCCATCATCAAAACTTGTTAGTTGTTCCTGTTCTTTGAGATCATTACTCTATGGCATTATTTACATGTTATCTTATTCTTGTCAAGTAATGATGCTGATGTTTCTGATTCTAGGTGGACAAGTCCATCAAACCTGACACTGGAATCTCAGGCTGAAGTAGCTTATGTTGTATCTCCCTTAGTTCAAACTTAATTGGAAACTTGTCTTCGTGATTTCACTTTAGTGTGTGACAAAAAGTTATAAGTCCCGACTTGTCTCTCTATTTATCCAATCTGTAGACGTTAGTGTACAGTCTGGACTATGATTAGCTGTTGGAGACAGGACGAAAGCGACTCAGACTTTGACTACTGCGTAAAGTTTCAGACCACCTCGTTATAATTTAGTCGTTGCAACACACCTGTCCATGATCTGAAATCCCCATTCACCGAGCTTCCTTCCCAAGATGGTCTAGACGGAGTTAGTAGGGAGGTGGGGTGAGTGTCAGCTGGGCTACAGTTAGATACTAGGTCACATAACCTACACAGCTGCAACACACGGACACAACACTCCATACTTGTGTCTAAGAGAAGGACACAACACTCTCAGTTGTGTCGACACACAGGGACCCAACACACAACACTGGGACACAAGAACCCACACACTTGGACCTAGCGGAGAAGTCAGTACAGACGGTACAGGCTGGTCAGTGGAAGACACATTACTCTGTAGGAAGGCATTTAGAGATCAAATATTTATGTGTCAGCCAAATAACAATCATTATTGTGTAGATAGACACACCCCATCTTAACCCGTCTCCATCTTGTCTTGAACTGATAAACATAAGAGTGTCTTGTGACCATTACACATTGCAGAAATATGTCTGTCCACAGATTTACCTCCCCCTCTCAAAACCCACAACAGAGTTATCCCCCCATTTAAAAAACCCACACTAGAGTTATCTCCCCTTCAAAACCCACAACAGTCATCCCCCCATTAAAAAACCCACACTAGAGTTATCTCCCCTTCAAAACCCACAACAGAGTTATCCCCCCATTAAAAAACCCACACTAGAGTTATCTCCCCTTTCAAAACCCACAACAGAGTTATCCCCCCATTTAAAAAACCCACACTAGAGTTATCTCCCCTTCAAAACCCACAACAGAGTTATCCCCCCATTAAAAAAACCCACACTAGAGTCATCTCCCCTTCAAAACCCACAACAGAGTCATCCCCCCATTAAAAAACCCACACTAGAGTTATCTCCCCTTCAAAACCCACACAACAGAGTTATCACCCCTTTCAAAACCCCATTAAAAAAACACACACTAGAATTATCTCCCCCTTTAAGAAAACACTCAAAAGAGTCATCTCCCACCCACAAACAACATGATAGTGGTAATTACTATTTTCTCCCCCTTAAAAAAATGCAGAACTCGGCAATCAGTAAAATTATTTGCAAGTTCACAAACATCAACATCACATCTTATCTCCTTCTGGACAAAATGAAAAACCGAGTTGTCTTCTAACTACATTAGAGTTATCTCCCTTCCCACAACTACAAATCTGGTATCTGTCATCTGTACACAGAAGATCATATCTCCCGCTCTCATAGATCAGGCTATTGAAGCGTACTGAATGATCCACCACATCACTAGGAATCAAATTTCTACAGGATTACTTTAAACCAGCACTGCACGGAGGAGTGAGTGAGTGAGTGAGTATGGTTTTACGACGCTTTTAGCAATATTCCAGCAATATCACGGCGGGGGACACCAGAAATGGGCTTCACACATTGTACCCATGTCAGGAATCGAACCCAGGTCTTCGGCGTGACGAGCGAACGCTTTAACCACTAGGCTACACGACCGCCCCACTGCACGGAGGAGGAAAATGTACTTTTCAGTCTTCTAACTTTCTGAGCTGTGCTGTTACAAAATGTGATTCTGAACACACTCCCAGATCCGGCTGAGACATAAACAGGCTTCAAGAATCAGTTTGCATCAGCTTTGTTTGTTTGTTTGTTGTTTAACACCATTCGGCAATATTCCAGCTACATGACGGCTGTTGACAAATCCAGCGATTGACATCATGAGCATCGATCTAGACAATTGGGATACGATGACATGCAATCAGCCAAGTCAGCAAGCCTGACACCCGATCACAGGTTGCAAGGGACCAATTCTAACCCAAGATCCCCTAGGGTTTGAGCACTGCTCACAAAGTTGGCAACTAGTTTCCTTGTAGTTACAGTCCCCCTCTACACAAATACACAGACTGACATATCGACACAGATAGTTCACAGGAGACAGAACAGCCCACCACGACATCGTGCAGTGGTGGACAGAAGCTGGAAACCTTTACTGGCTGGATTAGTTATAACATGACAGGACAACCGAAAAGCCTGACATTCTACAAGCCCTGGGGTCACCTTTACCATTAAACCAACTGCCTTGGGAGGAACTACAACCCTGAATCTAGTGCTACATTCAGCCCTGCATCCCACACCCACGTATTGCCCAGTATGGCTGGTAGCCTAGGCTAGTACACACACCTTTACTACTGTCTGAAACAAGGCTAGTAGACTAGTCCTGACTAGTGAGAGGACCGTGTACAGAGCTGATGTTAGCAGAGAGCCATGCGGGTTAGACACAAGGACAACAGTGAGCACCTACCTTGGCCGAGTCTTTCAGGTGTAGCATGGCGGGGTCGTTGACACTCTTCCCCGAGGCGTTCTTGGTCGCGCTGATGAGGTCGGACAGAGCGGAGGCGACATCCTTGACGGCGTTGATCAGGAGGACCTGCAGGTCGATACAGGATATCAGTGAAGAGTTTATTGACAGTTTTATGCTAGGATCAACAATATTACTAAGAGGCATCAACCACAAACTAGGAATACCTGGGGTAATTGGGGTCCCAAAAAAATATTAATATTATTATATTATATTATGAATTTGCATTGCACATTTTCCAATTCACAACTGCTCAAATGTGTTTAGACCATAACAGCTCTTATAACTACCGGTCACTGGATCAGTGAGTGAGTGAGTGTGAGTGAGTTGGGTTTAACGCCGCTTTAAACATTATTCCAGTTATATCACGGCGTGTCAGCTTAATGTGGGAGGAAAGCCCGAAGTGATGCAGGTCTCAGACGTTTACCACTTCGGTGAAACCCATGAGCACGGGTATTGTGCTGATCAACCTAGAAACATAATCGGGGCGAACCGGGATTCGAACCCACAATCATAGGTTTCTGGCGTGCCCAAGGGACGCAACTCTGCACAGCGAATCGCGGCGCCTAAGATGACTGGGCCACCTGTGCCCCCCGGATCAGTGTGCACTGACGTTTAGTCTCAGCTCCCAGGAGAGTATCAACCCAAGGAACGTGAGAGGAGCGAGAAGGTTAACAGTCACATTTTCATTGAATCCTACAGGGTACCCATTCACTGCTGGGTGAAAAGAGGCAGACATTTTAAACAAAGTCATTTGCCTAAAGGGACACTACATGCTACCATTTTCAAGCCAATTGGAACACAAGGTAAAAAGACTGGACAAACAAGTAAACAATTATTGTTCAAGTGTCATGTCCCTGTGTAAACAATTATTGTTCAAGTGTCATGTCCCTGTGTAAACAATTATTGTTCAAGTGTCATGTCCCTGTGTAAACAATTATTGTTCAAGTGTCGTGTCCCTGTGTAAACAATTATTGTTCAAGTGTCGTGTGTTCTTTACCTGTGGGGGCGGTCGGGTAGCCTAGTGGTTAAAGCGTTCGCTCGTCACGCCGAAGACCCGGGTTCGATTCCCGACATGGGTACAATGTGTGAAGCCCATTTCTGGTGTCCCCCGCCGTGATATTGCTGGAATATTGCTAAAAGCGGCGTAAAACCATAGTCAGTCAGTCAGTCAGTCTTTACCTGTGCTTCTGGCTGTTCAGACCCCAGCGATCCCGCCCCCAGCTTAACCACATCAGCGAGTCTCGTGATGGTCTTCACAGCTGTCTGAGCAGCTGCCGCAAGCTGTTCCTGATTGGATGCTGCCCCGGCAACCAGAGTCTTAGTATCCTCAACCAGGGCCTTGGCTGTCTTCAGGATGCTCTCCCTGGAACATGGATGATTAATGGTTCATGAAATATTCCAAAGGAACTGTTACTGTGCTATAAGGACGTGTGCAACAATGAGTTCATATTCACTGTGCAAGTCACACTGTTGTGTATCCTAAATCTTTAAACGACATAATGTAAGCCACTCTATTGCCAAGACTGTCAATAAGATCCCCACCTGTGATCAGCAAAGGATTCAGAGCCATCAGCATTGAGGGTTCCGGCTGTAGCAAACATGATGGTGGTGTCCAAGTCGCCGATGATGCCGCTGACGGTGCTCGCTGCGTTGATGCAGGCCTGTGTGCCACGTGACCCGGCCTGGAGGGATGCCAGGACGAAGGAGACCTGCAAGACAGGAACAGCGTTAGACCAAGGTCAATAGACAGACCCAGGTCATTAGTCAGACCAAGGTCAATAGACAGACCAAGGTCAATAATCATACCCAGGTCAACAGTCAGATCAAGGTCAATAGTCACATCAAGGTCAATAGGCAGACCAAGGGCCATGGTTCGGCAGAATTAATTATGACTTCCAAACAAAGACACACAGGTAGGTACAATCAATTATGACTTTCAGGTCAAGACCTACAGGTAGGTACAATAAATTATGACTTTCATGTCAAGGCCTACAGGTAGGTACAATCAATTATGACTTTCATGTCAAGGCCCAAAGGTAGGTACAATCAATTATGAATTTCAGGCCAAGGCCCAAAGGTAGGTACAATCAATTATGGCTTTCAGATCAAGGCCCAAAGGTAGGTACAATCAATTATGACTTTCAGATCAAGGCCCAAAGGTAGGTACAATCAATTATGACTTTCAGATCAAGGCCCAAAGGTAGGTACAATCAATTATGACTTTCAGATCAAGGCCCAAAGGTAGGTACAATCAATTATGACTTTCAGATCAAGGCCCAAAGGTAGGTACAAGCAATTATGACTTTCAGACCAAGGCCTACAGGTAGGCAAAATCAATCATATGAGTCTGACTAAGGTCCACTGATCAATAGATAGATTGAGACAATTCTGCATCAAGTTCTGTGTCACTATGAGAGGACACCCACCTTCTCTGAGATGCTCTTGGCGTGTTCTGACAGGTCCTTCCTGGCGTAGGAGTCGGTGGGGTTGGCCTGGAGGTTGCCAGCATCCTGCACCACCTCCACACAGCTCCGGCCCAGGTCCTGCACAGCCGTCCGGATCCGGTTGCCGATCTACACAGAAATATGTACAGTGTACATCCCTTCAGCAATATAGAACCAATTACCGTTACACTTTACACTGCAACAACACAGTCATCTGAGATGTTGTCACCTGGGCACGCCAGAAACCTATGATTGTGGGTTCAAATCCAGGTTCCCCTGATTATGTTTCCAGGTTTGTCAGCACCATACCCATGCTCATGGGTGTCACCAAAGTGGTAAATGTCTGAGGCCTGCATCACTTCAGGCTTTCCTCCCACTTCAAGCTGACATGCCGTAAAATAACTTAGATACTGTTCAAAGCAGGCATAAAACCCAACTCACTCACTTAAAATAAGCTGATCTTACTAGACCAGAAGAATTTTTACTGGAATTGGCTTCAGACTAGTTGCTGATATCACAGACTGAAACTGTACGAGACAACAAATATGGGAGGCTGTATGGTATGGGAGGCTGTGCTGTGGGGCTACAGAACAATGGTGGTCAGCTGTATGGGAGGCTGTGCTGTGGGGCTACAGAACAATGGTGGTCAGCTGTATGGGAGGCTGTGCTGTGGGGCTACAGAACAATGGTGGGCAGCTGTATGGGGGGCTGTGCTGTGGGGCTATAGAACAATGTGGGCAGCTGTATGGGAGGCTCTCCTGTGGGGCTACAGAACAATGTGGGCAGCTGTATGGGAGGCTGTGCTGTGGAGCTACAGAACAATGCTGGGCAGCTATATGGGAGGCTGTGCTGTATGGGAGGCTGTGCTGTATGGGAGGCTGTGCTGTGGAGCTACAGAACAATGGTGGGCAGCTTACTTCGAGGTTGTTGGTGGCGGCGGCGGCTCCGCGGGAGTTGTTGGAGAGTTGGCTGTAGTCCCGGGTCAACAGGTTGGCCAGCTGCCCCAGGTCCTGCACGTTGGTGGTGGACTTGCCGATCTGAAGCACAACACAAACTATCAGTGTGAAGCATTGAAGGACTGATGACGTATTCCTAATAAGCTTTTCCAGAGCCAAGTCAAGACAGTTATGCTGTCCAGAGGGCTTTTCAGACTTTGTCGAGGAGTCCATTACGTAATCACTCTTCAGGAAAGAATGGTTTCCAGTTTATATCCACCACTACATCACGTCATGGAGGAATGTTCTGTTTCCTGTGAACTATTGTGTCAGGTCACACATAAGGGTGTCGATATGTGTCAACTATGTTTTCAACATTAAGCCTGCTGTTCTCACCATGTCCTGTGCTGACCGGGCAATCTGTTTACTAAGGCGCACCATGTTGGTCTGGTAGTCCACAAACGATGTTCCCTCCGTGGCGATAATCTCGTCAGTCTGGAACAGTCACAGCTCAATTATTACCTCCTGCACAATTACCTTCACACACTATAAACTGGGAACAGTATTAAATAATCTTTATCAAGTAAAATCTGTACTGGAAATTGCCTCCCAGTAGGATCCAAGAAAGAAGTGCTTTCAAAGAAATAGTTTCTTTTGCAGTTATGTGATCAACAACAAAATCACAGTCTAACACATTCAAAGGATTAGACCACTCAGAAGTAGAGCTTTAAACCGCCATGGTAGACTGACACATGGAGCTTATAACACTAAATCCGACCTCCCAGCCACACTTCTGCATGATAAAGTCAAATTGTGTTTCTTGTTTACACACAGCGATATTCCAGCTGTATAATGGTGGCCTGTACATAATCGAGTCTGGACCAGACAACCCAGTGAACGATCCATGATGATGGGAACGATGACACACGATCAAGCAAGTCACTAAGCCCCATCACCTGATTCGGTCACTTCATACGACCAGCAAATGTTGCTGGGGAATGCAGAATCACCACAGGGATAAAGTCCTGTTAACCATCAACGTGTTTGACGACATGGACACCTACCCGTGCCATGGACTTGCTGATGCTGTCGATCATGCTGCTGACGGCGCCAGACTGGGAGGCGGCCTCCTCGATGGTCTGCAGCAGGTCCTGGAGGACGTCCTTCATGTCCTCCGCCGCTCCGTCCACGTTGCCGTGAGCCTGCATCGCCTGCAACATCACACAGTTCATACAGATACATATTCCCTGATTACATGTATTTTCTGTGACACATTTTCAAAATTTCTCCCAAAACACAGCTACACTGACTCTCTGACACATTATGCCGAATCCGAGCCCACTAGTCCTAATCTATTCCCTTGATGCAGGGTAACAAGTACAATCTTTCAACATATTTCGGTATGAGGTGAGGTGAAATGGGTTTCAACGTCGCATCCAAGATTATTGCACTTATATAGCAACGTGCATGCACGTGTGTGTGTGAGTTTGTGTGGCTGCTTGTACTAGTCCGGACTGATACTGATTTATAGTGCTAGCTCACTGAGATACCATGCCGCAGTTTAACATGAATACCCCAACTCAGACACAGTATACTGACTCCGAGCCGACCAGTCCTTGTTTTAGCCCCTTAATGCTGAGCTCCAGGCAGGGTAACAACAAGTACCAGCTTTTAATGACTTTTGGTATGACGCGGCCGGGGAATGAACCACTGACCTTCCATTCTATCCACTAGACCATGAGGCGGTCGCAGACATTGTGACAATGATACTCCCGTCCAGGGCCTGCATAAACGCACAGGTCAGTACACCCCTAAGCCTCTATTACAATGGGGGTGTGTCCACCCTCCTGGATCTGGATGCCCTACTTCTCCTGCTCCACCTTGTTTAACATCTCAATGAGGTTACAATGTACTTGTGGCTAAGCCTCTATTACAATGGCGGTGTGTCCACCTCCTGGATCTGCATGCCCTACTTCTCATGCTCCACCTACCTTGGGGTTTCCACCGCTCTCCTTACAAGCGTAGAGGAACTGAAGAGCTGACTCCGCAACTGTCTTGGACAGGTCGAGGACGTTCATCTGTTGCTTGGAGTTGAGGTTCTTGGAGGCTGTCCCGATAGCCCCGTCAGAGAGAGGCTCGAAGTAGGAGGACATGGTGTTGATCTGTGACACAGAGGACAAGAGTGAGGACATTGTACTGGACTGCATCAAGCAGGCCTCATTTCTACAGATGATTGGATGCAAAATCATTTACAAACATGGCTCCTTGGCAATGCACATTTTTAGAAGAAAAGATATTAAGAACAGTTTGGGTAAGAAGTTAATAAAATAACTGCCGCCATTCCATCACTCTAGCTGCTGAAGCACAATCCTGCAACTCTGATTCCTGGCAACAAAGAACTTCTGGCTGTCCCTTTGTGTGTGTTCCTAATGGATTCCCGATGCAAATCTGCTTCAGCAAAGTGCATGCATCGTGATCTAACGACAAGTGCAACATGATTCTTTTCCTAAGACGCTTAACTTCAAATATGAGTACATATTTTAGATTGTGCAACAAAAATATTACTGATTGAGCTGAAAACCTGATGGTAAAGATTCTTTATCCTGCCCGATAAGTTCAAAAAAAGACGTAGAACAGTGCAGCTATAAGTCAAAATCAAAACCGTTTATAGATAGCAGCACAGAGTCAACCCAATACCCCAGTAACTAGATGTTACACAGTTACACAGATGTTACACAGTAACTATCTAGCCTTGCCTACTGGGATATCCCTGTAACTAGATGTTACACAGTTACACAGATGTTACACAGTAACTCTCCAGCCTTGCCCACTGGGATATCCCTGTAACTAGATGTTACACAGTTACACAGATGTTACACAGTAACTCTCCAGCCTTGCCCACTGGGATATCCCTGTAACTAGATGTTACACAGTTACACAGATGTTACACAGTAACTCTCCAGCCTTGCCCACTGGGATATCCCTGTAACTAGATGTTACACAGTTACACAGATGTTACACAGAAACTCTCCAGCCTTGCCCACTGGGATATCCCTGTAACTAGATGTTACACAGTTACACAGATGTTACACAGTAACTATCTAGCCTTGCCCACTGGGATATCCCTGTAACTAGATGTTACACAGTTACACAGATGTTACACAGTAACTCTCCAGCCTTGCCCACTGGGATATCCCTGTAACTAGATGTTACACAGTTACACAGATGTTACACAGTAACTCTCCAGGCTTGCCCACTGGGATATCCAAGTAACTAGATGTTACACAGTAACTCTCCAGCCTTGCCCACTGGGATATCCCTGTAACTAGATGTTACACAGTTACACAGATGTTACACAGTAACTCTCCAGCCTTGCCCACTGGGATATCCCTGTAACTAGATGTTACACAGTAACTCTCCAGCCTTGCCTACTGGGATATCCCAATAACTAGATGTTACACAGTAACTCTCCAGCCTTGCCTACTGGGATATCCATGTAACTAGATGTTACACAGTTACACAGATGTTACACAGTAACTCTCCAGCCTTGCCCACTGGGATATCCCTGTAACTAGATGTTACACAGTAACTCTCCAGCCTTGCCCACTGGGATATCCCTGTAACTAGATGTTACACAGTAACTCTCCAGCCTTGCCCACTGAGATATCCCTGTAACTAGATGTTACACAGTAACTCTCCAGCCTTGCCCACTGAGATATCCCTGTAACTAGATGTTACACAGTAACTCTCCAGCCTTGCCTACTGGGATATCCCAATAACTAGATGTTACACAGTAACTCTCCAGCCTTGCCTGCTGGGATATCCCAGTAACTAGATGTTACACAGTTACACAGTAACTCTCCAGCCTTGCCCACTGACCAGGTGTCCCAGGTTCTCTGGCTTGCACTTGGCTGCCCGCTGGATGGCCTCGATGGTGTCCAGGATCTCGCGGCCGCTGTTGATCATCTGCTCCTGGAAGGACTTGAGAGTCTTGTCATTGCGCTGGCCCAGGTTCTGGCTGATGGCCGCCAGGGAGGCCTGGTCCAGGTCGCGGATTGTGTGGTTCAGCTTGTCGATGGCAGTGTCACATTCCTTCTGACCTGGGGCAGTGTCCCTGTGGGTGGAGGGTGGAGTGAGACGGGGGCTGAGGATAATCAGTACAGATATATACGGTCCTTCTGACCGGGGGCAGTGTCCCTGAGGGTGGAGGAGAGCAAGTGAGATGGGGGTGAGGATAATCAGTACAGATATATACGGTCCTTCTGACCTGGGGCAGTGTCCGGAGACGGGGGTGAGGATAATCAGTACAGATATATACGGTCCTTCTGACCTGGGGCAGTGTCCCTGTGGGGGTGAGGAGAGGGAGTGAGACGGGGGTGAGGATAATCAGTACAGATATATACGGTCCTTCTGACCTGGGGCAGTGTTCCTGTGGGGGTGAGGAGAGGGAGTGAGATGGGGGTGAGGATAATCAGTACAGATATATACGGTCCTTCTGACCTGGGGCAGTGTCCGGAGACGGGGGTGAGGATAATCAGTACAAATATATACGGTCCTTCTGACCTGGGGCAGTGTCCCTGTGGGGGTGAGGAGAGGGAGTGAGACGGGGGTGAGGATAATCAGTACAGATATATACGGTCCTTCTGACCTGGGGCAGTGTCTCTGTGGGGGTGAGGAGAGGGAGTGAGACGGGGGTGAGGATAATCAGTGCAGATATATACGGTCCCTCTGACCTGGGGCAGTGTCTCTTTTGGGGTGAGGAGAGGGAGTGAGACGGGGGTGAGGATAATCAGTACAGATATATACGGTCCCTCTGACTTTAGGCAGTGTCTCTGTGGGGGTGAGGAGAGGGAGTGAGACGGGGGTGAGGATAATCAGTACAGATATATACGGTCCTTCTGACCTGGGGCAGTGTCTCTGTGGGGGTGAGGAGAGGGAGTGAGACGGGGGTGAGGATAATCAGTACAGATATATACGGTCCCTCTGACCTGGGGCAGTGTCTCTGTGGGGGTGAGGAGAGGGAGTGAGACGGGGGTGAGGATAATCAGTACAGATATATACGGTCCCTCTGACCTGGGGCAGTGTCTCTGTGGGGGTGAGGAGAGGGAGTGAGACGGGGGTGAGGATAATCAGTGCAGATATATACGGTCCCTCTGACCTGGGGCAGTGTCTCTGTGGGGGTGAGGAGAGGGAGTGAGACGGGGGTGAGGATAATCAGTACAGATATATACGGTCCCTCTGACTTTAGGCAGTGTCTCTGTGGGGGTGAGGAGAGGGAGTGAGACGGGGGTGAGGATAATCAGTACAGATATATACGGTCCTTCTGACCTGGGGCAGTGTCTCTGTGGGGGTGAGGAGAGGGAGTGAGACGGGGGTGAGGATAATCAGTACAGATATATACGGTCCCTCTGACCTGGGGCAGTGTCTCTGTGGGGGTGAGGAGAGGGAGTGAGACGGGGGTGAGGATAATCAGTACAGATATATACGGTCCCTCTGACTTTGGGCAGTGTCTCTGTGGGGGTGAGGAGAGGGAGTGAGACGGGGGTGAGGATAATCAATACAGACCTATACAGCAGTTAGTAGGTGACCGTGTTGTCTATCACTTTCAACTGCTGTAGCACTGCTGACTCACAACATACAGACACACAGTGACAGGGAGAAGTTGACAATACGTCAGTCGTATCTAGTCATGTGGATGCTGGCACTGACTAGATCATGCTAGATAGCTAGTACCTTTGTTGTTTAACGCCACACTCAGCAATATTTCAGCTAAATGACAGCAGTCTATAAATAATTGAATCTGCACCAGAAAATCCAGTGATTGACATCATGAGCATCGATCAAAACAATTGAAATACGATGACATGCATCAACCAGGTCAGTGAGTCTGCAAACAGATCCTTTTATTCACCTCTTATGACAAGCATGGGCTGCTGAAGATCAAACCTAACCCGGGTCTTCACAGGTTTCAACTGCATGTGATGTGAGACTGGGAACTTACTTGATGGCTGATACGAGTCTCTTGATGGCGTCGGACACGCTCTTGGAGTGGTTGGAGTACAGCTGATATGTGGGGGGGTCGCGGGGGTTGATGGCCAGCTGCTTGGCGGCCTGCAGCATATGACACGCCCCATCGATCATCGCCTTGCCCGACATCGTGATGGGCTCCTGGGCACGCCGTGCCTGCAACATCCACACACCAGTAACTAGCATGGTCCACAGGGCTGCTGTGACAGACTTACCAAGTATACATTAATCTGAAGTAAATATTAATCTGCAAGTCCGATTAAAATTCAAGAAGGACTAGTGATATTTTGTTGTGGACTACCACTTTTACAATTAGGTAGATGGCAACTCAGATCATTTGTGCAGAAAAAGTGAAAATACAAATAAATTCCCTGCTTATTCTATACAGTTCCATGATTTCATCTGCATGGATCTAAAAACTTTGGGGGGAGGGGGGAGGCATATATATACGTACATCCTACCACTTATATACAATTACAAAGATAACAAGGCAGAACTAAAGACATTTCATAAAGTCTTCGTTTTTTTATGGATTTTTAAAGAAATAATCCTGGTTGGAAAATAAAAACAACGACCCAGCCTGTGTACCTGGTGGCTGATCTTGGCGGGTTTACTGGCGAACTCCGGTGATGAGGCGAAGGTGGTGAGTTCCTCCACTGCATTGATGAGAGGCCGAGATGCTTCTGCACACTGCTGCCGGTTGTGGTCTGTGAAGTCACTGTCCAGGGCCTGCACAAACACACAGTCAGTACACCATACAGCTGTATCACCCTGCCACAAACACAGTCAGTACACCATACAGCTGTATCACCCTGCCACAAACACAGTCAGTACACCATACAGCTGTATCACACTGCCACAAACACACAGGTCAGTACACAATTCAACTGTATCACACTGCCACAAACACACAGTCAGTACACCATACAGCTGTATCACACTGACACAAACACACAGTCAGTACACTATACAGCTGTATCACACTGCCACAAACACACAGTCAGTACACCATACAGCTGTATCACACTGCCACAAACACACAGTAAGTACACTATACAGCTGTATCACAATACCACAAACACACAGTCAGTACACCATACAGCTGTATCACACTGCCACAAACACACAGTCAGTACACTATACAGCTGTATCACACTGCCACAAACACAGTCAGTACACCATACAGCTGTATCACACTGCCACAAACACACAGTCAGTACACTATACAGCTGTATCACCCTGCCACAAACACACAGTCAGTACACCATACAGCTGTATCACACCGCCACAAACACACAGTCAGAACACCATACAGCTGTATCACACTGCCACAAACACACAGGTCAGTACACCATACAGCTGTATCACACTGCCACAAACACACAGTCAGTACACCATACAGCTGTATCACCCTGCCACAAACACACAGTCAGTACACCATACAGCTGTATCACACTGCCACAAACACACAGTCAGTACATCATACAGCTGTATCACACTGCCACAAACACACAGTCAGTACACTATACAGCTGTATCACACTGCCACAAACACACAGGTCAGTACACCATACAGCTGTATCACACTGCCACAAACAAAGTCAGTACACCATACAGCTGTATCACACTGCCACAAACACACAGCTCAGTACACCATACAGCTGTATCACACTGCCACAAACACACAGTCAGTACACCATACAGCTGTATCACACTGCCACAAACACACAGTCAGTACACCATACAGCTGTATCACACTGCCACAAACACAGGTCAGTACACCATACAGCTGTATCACACAGGTCAGTACACCATACAGCTGTATCACCCTGCCACAAACACACGGTCAGTACACCATACAGCTGTATCACACTGCCACAAACACAGGTCAGTACACCATACAGCTGTATCACACTGCCACAAACACACAGTCAGTACACCATACAGCTGTATCACACTGCCACAAACACACAGGTCAGTAAACCATACAGCTGTATCACACTGCCACAAACACACAGGTCAGTACACCATACAGCTGTATCACACTGCCACAAACACACAGTTCAGTACACCATACAGCTGTATCACCCTGCCACAAACACACAGTCAGTACACCATACAGCTGTATCACACTGCCACAAACACACAATCAGTACACCATACAGCTGTATCACACTGCCACAAACACAGGTCAGTACACCATACAGCTGTATCACACAGGTCAGTACACCATACAGCTGTATCACCCTGCCACAAACACACAGGTCAGTACACCATACAGCTGTATCACACTGCCACAAACACAGGTCAGTACACCATACAGCTGTATCACACTGCCACAAACACACAGGTCAGTACACCATACAGCTGTATCACACTGCCACAAACACACAGGTCAGTACACCATACAGCTGTATCACACTGCCACAAACACACAGTTCAGTACACCATACAGCTGTATCACACTGCCACAAACACACAGTCAGTACACCATACAGCTGTATCACCCTGCCACAAACACACAGTCAGTACACCATACAGCTGTATCACACTGCCACAAACACACAGTCAGTACACCATACAGCTGTATCACCCTGCCACAAACACACAGTCAGTACACCATACAGCTGTATCACACTGCCACAAACACACAGTCAGTACACCATACAGCTGTATCACACTGCCACAAACACAGTCAGTACACCATACAGCTGTATCACACTGCCACAAACACACAGTCAGTACACCATACAGCTGTATCACACTGCCACAAACACACAGTCAGTACACCACACAGCTGTATCACACTGCCACAAACACACAGTCAGTACACCATACAGCTGTATCACACTGCCACAAACACACAGTCAGTACACCATACAGCTGTATCACACTGCCACAAACACACAGTCAGTACATCACACAGCTGTATCACACTGCCACAAACACACAGGTCAGTACACCATACAGCTGTATCACACTGCCACAAACACACAGTCAGTACACCATACAGCTGTATCACACTGCCACAAACACACAGTCAGTACACCATACAGCTGTAGCACACTGCCACAAACACAGTCAGTACACCATACAGCTGTATCACACTGCCACAAACACACGGTCAGTACACCATACAGCTGTATCACACTGCCACAAACACACAGTCAGTACACCATACAGCTGTATCACACTGCCACAAACACACAGTCAGTACACCACACAGCTGTATCACACTGCCACAAACACACAGGTCAGTACACCATACAGCTGTATCACACTGCCACAAACACACAGTCAGTACACCATACAGCTGTATCACACTGCCACAAACACACAGTCAGTACACCATACAGCTGTCGCACACTGCCACAAACACACGGTCAGTACACCATACAGCTGTATCACACTGCCACAAACACACAGGTCAGTACACCATACAGCTGTATCACACTGCCACAAACACACAGTCAGTACACCATACAGCTGTATCACACTGCCACAAACACACGGTCAGTACACCATACAGCTGTATCACACTGCCACAAACACACAGTCAGTACACCATACAGCTGTATCACACTGCCACAAACACACAGTCAGTACACCATACAGCTGTATCACACTGCCACAAACACACGGTCAGTACACCATACAGCTGTATCACACTGCCACAACCACACAGGTCAGTACACCATACAGCTGTATCACACTGCCACAACCACACAGTCAGAACGCCTCCTCACCTTGATGGCCTTGACTAGCATGGCAGTGCTGTTAGCCACGTCCTTGGCACTCTGTACAAAATGTCTCTTGGCAACAGGGTTGGTTGTCTTGGAGGAGGCCAGTCTGCAGGCGTTACACAGCGCGGACGTGTGCTTGGCGACGACCGTGGCGGCAGACAGCACCTGCAACCATACAGCATCACATCATGCTATCTCCACGTTGTTCCAATGTCAAGGTCAGGTTACTTTCAGTTCGTATTACGGAAATGTTTAGTGTCATGCAACATATTGAATTAGTTTAACATTGATGGTGACACTTCAACTTAAGTTGATTATGGCGAGATTTCAGCTAAACGTGCTCGCACCTTCGCCAACACACAAAATTGCCCAAACAGAAGAAAAATGTGAAATTGATGTAACTAGAAGAAATGTGCCAAAATGCTCAAACTGAAAGTGCAGATGAAGCAACAGTGAAATTTCAGAATTTATGGCAGAACAAATTTCCACGTTGAGTATATCTAATAACAGTTGTCTCAAAGGAGATATTTGAGCATGTTTTAGAATTGCAACATTTCACGGTGATCAAATGGACACTTTGAACAGAGCTGAACACAGACTCCACACATGACAGCCACAGAGAAAGCTTACATTACAAAATCAATTTGACAATTTCGTATTTAACACTTAAATGCTCTTGCGAAACTGAAGCTGAATGTGTCCTGACAAGGACAGGGCGTGGTCATGCAGGCTGGGGTGGGTGGTAGGGGGTGGGGCGTGTCTATGGGAGGGGGTGGGTGTGTCAATGGGGGGCAGGGTGACATGAGGGGATGCTACGTAACAAAAGCAGCACATATAAAACGGAAACTGGTCAACATAAATTCCATGAGATACAAAATGGCACCAATTTAAATAATAACTGGTGTGGAAACAAATATGTTTACTGTGTTAATGGTGTGTGAGTGAGGGTGAGACATTTTTTTTTTGCATTGAACTTGCGCTGAAATGTTCACGAGGGCCAGATTTCTTAATGCCCAATAAAGGCCATGTTTCCTAATAGTGGGTGAGTATTGTTTTACGCCGCCTTCAGCAATATTCCAGCAATATCTTGGCAGGGACACAAGGGATGGTCTTTAACACATTTGGGGAATTGGCCTTCGGTGTGTGGAGCGAACGCTTTAACCACAAGGCTACCCGACCCCCACATTTTTCCTGATAACTGTACGGGGTATTTGACCTTACAATGTACTAGAAAGAATTCCCACTCGTGGCACATACAGACACTGAGAACATACAGACATGGACACGGTGCTGGTGGTGGGTGACGGGTGGCAACAAGACAGTGTCAACAACAGGAGACCGACATAATCATGTACATCATGGCTTGAACCTCGTCCTCCCTGGCGGCCACACAGCCAAGTACTAGTGATGGATGATCAACAATGGATACACGTTACAGGCATGGAATACCGGGGTCTATTGTGTCAGGGATCCCTAGTGTAACTGACTGTAAAGTAACTGAATACGGTAAGACAAGCAAAGGTACTGGGGACCTATTCTGCCCTTCCATGGGGTACTGGGGACCTATTCTGCCCAAGCCTTGAGTACTTGGGACCTATTCTGCTCTAGTATGGGGTACTGGGGACCTATTCTGCTCTAGCATGGGGTACTGGGGGCCTATTCTGCCCAAGCCTTGAGTACTTGGGACCTATTCTGCTCTAGCATTGGGTGCTGGGAACCTATTCTGCTCTAGCATGGGGTACTGGGGACCTATTCTGCTCTAGCATGGGGTACTGGGGACCTATTCTGCTCTAGCATGGGGTGCTGGGGACCTATTCTGGTCTAGCATGGGGTACTTGGGACCTATTCTGCTCTAGCATGGGGTACAGGGGACCTATTTTGCCCTAACATGGGGTACTGGGGACCTATTCTGCTCTAGCAGGGGTACTGAGGACCTATCCTGCCCTAGCATCTGCACGGGAGACAAGCATGGGGGTACATGGGTCCCTGTCTACCATCGCATCCCTGTAAGGTCTAGCTGGATGATCTGGACAAGGAATTGGGAACATTTAGGCTTCATAAAGGGGAAGTAAGCTCTGTATAGCTTCCAGAGGAAACTGATTGAATACATCCAGTGGGGGTGGCTGTAAGGGCAGGGGGTGGCTGTAAGGGCAGTGGTGGTGGCTTTAAGGGAGTGGGGGTGGTGTAAGGGATTTGGGGTGGCTGTAAGGGCAGGGGGGAGTAGCTGTAATACCAGTGGGGGTGGCTGTAAGGGTAGGGGAGGTGGCTGTAAGGGCAGGGGGTGGCTGTAAGGGAGTGGAGGTGGCTGTAAGGGAGTGGTGATGGCTGTAAGGGCAGGGGGGTGGCTGTAAGGGCTGGGGGGGTGGCTGTAAGGACAGTTGTGGTGGCTTTAAGGAAGTGGGGGTGGTGTAAGGGAGTGGGGGTGGCTGTAAGGGCAGGGGCGGGGGCAGGACGGCATTGTGAAGGCGAGCAAGTCTTGCGGATTCCGCCTCCAGGGGCAAAGTTGAAAGCCAATTGAGAAGTGTGCAACCAATGAACAATCTGTGTGGTGTTACCTGCTCTCGGGATGGGAGGCGCACAACAGCCTGCAGAGATCAGGAGATTCACGGTAACTATGGTAACTCAATATACGTTTCTTTGTTGTTAAAAGAAGCACTCAGCAATATTCCAGCTGTATGACTGCCGACTGTAACACCGAGTCTGGACCAGACAATCCAGTGATTGATATAATGGGCAACGATCCACTCTGATGGGGTACGATGACACGCAATCAACCAAGTCGACTCCATGAAGTCGACTCTCACGACCAGCGTAGGTTGCTGGGCACGCACTCTAACCAGGAATCCCCACAGGGGGCGCTCACACAACACAGATGTCAACATGACATCAGGAAATATTAGGCTGACAAAACAATAATGACATTAATGGGTGTTACTTGTACAATACATGGTTAGCTTGTACTGTTACCATGGTAACACCGACTCCTTCGTCGTGAGGAGAACAGATGAGCAGTACTACCAGACATTATTGAGAATTACACAGGGAAACCAAGGTGTTTGATGCTATTCTGTTGGTTGGGTTATACATAACTTTCACAAGGTAACACTTCCATATAGTACAACTCAACTACTGCCAGGGATACGGAGATATTTCACACTACTGTTCATTGTTTGCCTCCGAGTATAACTGAGATTTCTATCAGCTAGCCCTACTCAATGTTAATGTAAATTATCGCAACACTGCAGAAAAATCACGGACTTGCCCTTTCTTATCAACCAATTTATCTTCATTATTTTCAATCTTTTCTGTCGAATTTTACATTCGAATGATGGTCAAACATTTCACATGTGATTCAAACATATAAAATATGAATTCCACAACAAAACGAAATTCGAAATAAATAATTCTCACTTTTAAACCTTCTGGTGGTATCATGACCACATAAACTATCAAGTCTTTGAGTGGCATTTGGAAGTGATCACATAAGAGAGAGAATTGATGGATGTCAACTTCTTTATTATGAGGAACACTTCTTTATTATTTCGGAGTATTTGCTTACTCCTCCATCATAAACTCCCTCTTTTACATAAACCAAGCACACGTACATCTAACCAACATAATGAGTTTGTATTACAGTTTTAGGGGAATGGGTATGCCTTTATTGTAGAATTCATCTGGGACTGACGCCTGGATATATTCTCAATAATGTCTGGGAAAACTGCACAGTAAAACATGGCAGCATATGTCAAGTCCTGCGTGTATCACATATCACTGATATAAACATGTGCTTTCAGGAACTGTTCTCAGCTGATACATGCTGGCAATACAACATGCCGAGTGCATCATAATTAGTTGTACAAGAGTTACTTCCCCTGATGTTAATGTGCTATATAAGAGTACAGCACATAATGAATTGATTGTCAATAATAACGACATCAATATTAAAAGTCATTTAAAATAACCCTGGATTATCTCCCCTGCTAAAGAGTTTTTCTTAAGAAAAACAGCACATTAATAAAATACAACAGTATTAGTAGTCTCTTAAACAACGACAATATTAACAATTTTAAACAAAAACCCAGATTATCTCCCCTGATACAGTTTTTTAAAGCAAAACACAAACAGAGAACATTAAACTGGGATGAGCTAAGTATAACAATGAGGTAAGCAATTTATCTATCTTAGCGCTACTTATTTTTAGTTACAACAGTTGTAGCGCTAAGATCCCCTGAAATAGGACCTGCAATTGGTTTACATTAATCAACAAGAAACTGTTTGAAGACGACAATATGAAAATAATAGATCAGCATATTTTACATTCATGTTACAGTTTATCATTTTACACTGACCATATTTGAAAAGGAAGTTTATACATGTGATTACGTGACTACTGGGAGATACTAGCTACAGGAAAACTGCTAATGTTTACAATAGTTACAGAAGGCCTCAGCTGATGGAGGACAAGAGGAACACTTATACATCTGGGGCATGTATATATATATATATATACGTACAGTTAACGGATACACAAAATTAATGAGCAATTATAAAACCAGTGTTTAAAAATTATGAAAAGCCTTTACATTGTACACGACCTACAAACTTAAACAGCAACTGAGTCCACATTAGGATAATGCACATCTAGAAAAAAAGAGTTGTGCTCAATATGCACGAGTAATCAACTGAGGATGATTACTGATGTGGCACATGGTACGTCACGATGTCCTGAGGCTGGCCCGGCTTGATGCTAGAGATTATCCTGAAGCTACGTGTCTCGTGTCTCATACTGTCTACTGCGATATTACAATGGAGATATCTCTTGTCCTGTATTGCTTGTAGCACTCTGGCCAATTCTTGGCAGTAATTTCAAACCTATGTTATGTACCTGTCATATTTCTCATCTCGACGCCATCACCTCTTTATATTATAGTCCATGCACAATACTTTCACTACGTATCCTGCCAAGGTTCATACAGATACGATACACTAAGACCTGACCCTTCACTGATTCCGAAGTTATCCATACAGACTGCAGTCCCTACGTGCGTCACGTTATGTATACACTCCCCGCCTACGATACGATATGATATGATACGATACGATACACTAAGACCTGACCCTTCACTGATTCCGAAGTTATCCATACAGACTGCAGTCCCTACGTACGTCACGTTATGCCTACACTCCCCGCCTACGATACGATATGATATGATACGATACGATACGATACACTAACACCTGACCTGTCACTGCATCCTAAGTGATCCCTACAGACTGCAGTCCCTACGTATGTCACGTTCAATACGGCCCCCTTCTACATTCTGCGCCTATGTTATGCCTACACTTCCTGCCTACGATACAATACAATATGATACACTATCACCTGATCTGTCACTGCATCCTAAGTGATCCATACAGACTGCAGTCCCTACGTACGTCACGTTCAATACGGTCCCCTACATTCTGTGCCTATGTTATGCCTACAGTCAGTGCCTACGATATGATACAATAAGATACACTAACACCTGATCTGTCACTGCATCCTTAGTGATCCATACAGACTGCAGTCCCTACGTAAGTCACATTCAACAAGTCCCCTTCCACATTCTGTTCCTATCTTATGCCTACACTCCCCGCCTACGATACTATATATTAACACCTGACCTGTCACTGCATCCTAAGTTATCCATACAGACTGCAGTCCCTACGTACTTCACGTTCAATATGGTCCCCTACATTCTGTGCCTATGTTATGCCTACCTATCTTATGCCTACACTCCCTGCCTACGATACGATATATTAACACCTGACCTGTCACTGCATCCGAAGTTATCCATACAGACTGCAGTCCCTACGTAAGTCACGTTCATCACGGTCCCCTTCTGCATACGCTGTGTAGCGGCTGGACCAGCCTGACTGCAGTCCCTACGTAAGTCACTTTCAATACGGTCCCCTTCTACATACATTGTGCAGTCCCTACGTAAGTCACATTCATCACGGTCCCCTTCTACGTACGCTTTGTAGCGGCCGGACCATACAGAATGCAGTCCCTATGTAAATCCCCTTCTACGTAAGCTGTGTAGCGGCCGGACCATACAGAATGCAGTCCCTACGTAAGTCCCCTTCTACGTAAGCTGTGTAGCGGCCGGACCATACAGAACGCAGTCCCTACGTAAGTCCCCTTCTACGTATGTTGTGTAGCGGCCGGACCATACAGAATGCAGTCCCTACGTAAGTCCCCTTCTACGTAAGCTGTGTAGCGGCCGGACCATACGGAACGCAGTCCCTATGTAAATCCCCTTCTACGTACGCTGTGTAGCGGCCCGACCATACAGAACGCAGTCCCTATGTAAATCCCCTTCTACGTACATTGTGTAGCGGCCGGACCATACAGAATGCAGTCCCTATGTAAATCCCCTTCTACGTACGCTGTGTAGCGGCCGGACCATACAGAATGCAGTCCCTATGTAAATCCCCTTCTACGTACGCTGTGTAGCGGCCGGACCATACAGAATGCAGTCCCTATGTAAATCCCCTTCTACGTACGCTGTGTAGCGGCCGGACCATACAGAATGCAGTCCCTATGTAAATCCCCTTCTACGTACGCTGTGTAGCGGCCGGACCATACAGAATGCAGTCCCTATGTAAATCCCCTTCTACGTACGCTGTGTAGCGGCCGGACCATACAGAATGCAGTCCCTATGTAAATCCCCTTCTACGGACGCTGTGTAGCGGCCGGACCATACAGAATGCAGTCCCTATGTAAATCCCCTTCTACGTACGCTGTGTAGCGGCCAGACCATACAGAACGCAGTCCCTATGTAAATCCCCTTCTACGTACATTGTGTAGCGGCCGGACCATACAGAATGCAGTCCCTATGTAAATCCCCTTCTACGTACGCTGTGTAGCGGCCGGACCAGCCTGTGTAAGCATGCATGAGACAAGACGCAACTGAAGACTGTGGGCGGAACTGACAGAAGCGATTGATGGCCGAGGACCTCGGACATGACGTGTCGGGCAAAACGGATGCCAGCTTACCATAGATCTTACAGCCCATGACTCGTAGTACTTCACAAAACAAAAAGTTACCATGGTTACTGTTAAACAAACATATAACGAGCAGTCTCACTGGCAGGGTCAATTCAGAGAGAACACGCCCCGATTGGTTCAAATCAGGACAAATTGATAAATAATTATTAAATATGAATTCAAAGACAATTTGAACCAATCAACATTGAGTTAACATCTGAGTTGACCCGCTCAACCAATGAAAACAGTTATTATTATTATTGAGGTTATATCAATAATACAGATTAACACAGGTGGTAAGTATAGGCCTATAACACATACCTGCGCTTGAACATTCACCTAGGTCAAAGGTCAAAGTGGAAAGTTCACACCATGCAGTTCCGTTACGATAGCAGGATTCCTCTTATCACCACTACCTATCACTTAGCTTTAACAGCTCTTCATATTGTTATTTACCATGCTTTCACAAAATCAAACATAATTCATCAGACTCTTAAAGCTACTTTGTCTCATCAAGATCACACAACTTATTATTACATACATACCCTCAATACAAGAACACTTTAATCTTGATTATTTACTGTGTTAAACAATAGGAACTTAAATATAATAAGTTTCAAATAACAGTCACCTAATTATTTATTGTGATACATATTTACTGTTACACCTGAAGGTGTGGGAGTGTAGCGAGTGTTAGGGGTCTCCAGCAGATCACAGGGCATACAACAGGCATGCTGTACACAGGCGTATCCCACTCATCTACACTGTACACCAAAACATCTTAGAGCGGCTCGTCACCTTCAGTATCTTAACTTAGTAAAGTATTATTCTCTTATCGATGACTCTAACCTCAGGTCCAGCACACAACACTGTGGCCCAATGATGCTGGCTTCATCAATATGATAATTGTAACACATTCACAAAACGTCTTGAAGAACTAAAATGAAATTTGAAATATTTAATCCTTATTTTGTTCCCACTAACCAAACCATTCACCAAAACATAATAGTCTTGCCCAATTGTATGTGTCTACATCATTTGTGTTAGGAACTTTGGAGTTTTCTTTCCTCCATTTTCATCGACAATAAAGATCTCTATTGTAATAAAAAGGATTTTACCTCGCAAAGTGCATCAAATCACTTGAGCATGTTGATTAAATACATGAAAAGATTTGGAAAATATCTGTCAATGCCCAGTTGACAGTACACATGCTATGCAAATCCTGCAATTAACCGAAATCAGCAGGGCGGTTGCCATGTTGTTTATGAACCGGCTGTCGAGTTACGGGATGTTACAGGATTTTGATTGGACGATGGATAGACTTAGTCCAGCCAAAACATAACTCCATCATTCCAGCCTAGTTTGGCAAGGGTGGTAACCTGACTTTTAAGGTCAGTTAACTCCCTTGCCTCAGGAAGATGCTACAGCCAAGACCAAAGGAGATGACAGGATCAGATTCACAGGGCGGTATTCATTCCGGCTTGAACTAACTAGGTCTTAGATCACTCCCTACTGCTAGACAGTGGTATGAGGCGGAGTTCACAGGGCGGTATTCATTCCGGCTTGAACTAACTAGGTCTTAGATCACTCCCTACTGCTAGACAGTAGTATGAGGCGGAGTTCACAGGGCGGTATTCATTCCGGCTTGAACTAACTAGGTCTTAGATCCTCCCTACTGCTAGACAGTGGTATGACACCGTGACGACGAGCACACTCTAGGGATGTTTTGCTCAAACATATTTTGTAGAAGTGATCCAAAATCGTGTTTGCTGATGTTGATGTTAGATGTGTTGGAATAAACAAGGCAATGCAGAACATGGCTGACTACCCAAGACACAAGCTTCATGCTCACTACAGAAAAAAACATTACAACTTTAGAATTCACAAATGAATTTGATCAATAATCAATTATGAAAAATGACATTTTATCTAAGATAATTTATGTTTATCAAACTCTTTACTTCAGTTTTAAATGATATTTAAACTGATCAAATTACGAAGTGTTCCACAACAAAACACATTTTCACGTCAATAACAATAAAATCACAACAGGGATATATCTAGAATTCCAAACTAATGCTCTTGGCAGGCAAGTTTGGAAAAAAATGTTCCTTTTGTACAAAAATGGGATTTTCTAAATTACTTATTTTCCTAACTGCAGATTATTTTAAAATTGTATCTTAAAATTGTAATTTATGATGTAAAACTAAACATTAAAGCTACTTTCTCATCATTGTTCCTAATATGTACTATAAGACATCATTTCTATAGATAATAGCATGAAATGGACACATTTTCACTTCAAATTTTGGATTTTACACTGACATTTTCTACAGACTGCAGTCTAGATAAATCCCTGGATAAGAAAAGACGTCATGTTCAATTTTAGTTTATTTCCCTCCTTGATTGTGTGTGAGTTACGTCCTTGTGTGTGATTTTCGTCCATAACAGTCAGTTCAGTTAACTAACAATTACAGGAATATTATGCATGTACCTATGTTTTGTTATGTCAATCAATATTTTGTGTTCATTTTTAAACTTCAATAACAAATACCCATAATTATATTTTTTTTAAATTCTTTCAAATGAAATTCCATTGCATAATTATATTTTCTACTTGATGATTCAAAAGAGGTAAGATGGTGTAATGTGGTCGAAACACCACCCTGCTTGGAGGTCGGGGTCTGCAGGCAGTGTATAGACAATGATAGCACAGCACAGCACAGCGCCACCTACCTGCTGTTGTGAGCTGGCAGGGTTGGTGAGGTTCTGACAGGCCATCTGAATGGCCTGGTTGGCCCGGGAGAACTGGGACTGATCCACAACGCCGGGCCGGCCGGGTTCCGAGGCAGGGTCCGCGATACCTACCAGGTAGGCAGCCTGCAATACAGACATACCTTCATGCAGTCTCCATACAACAGCACACACACAATGTCGTTTGTTTGTTCATTTTTTAACATCGTACTAAACAATATTCCAGCTATATGATGGCGATCTGTTAATAACCAATTCTGGACCAGACAATCCAGTGATCGATATTGTGAGAACGATCCACATCGCTGGGGTACGATGGCACATTTTCTACCAAGTCACAGAGCCTAACAACCCGATCCATTTGGTCTCCTCTTATGACCATCATAGGTTGTAGGAGGCCAAATCTAACCTGGAATCCATGGGGTCACACACATATTTCCTAATGCGTTTATGTCATGTACACTGACATCAACATGGCAGTTTCATCATTTCATCTACTACTGATACAACATTCTTCTGGATCATTTCTAAATTTGAAAAAAACCAATCAGGACATAACAACAAACTTTCAATTTCCTAGAACATCCACTAGTGAGTGAGTGAGTGAGTTGGGTTTAACGCCGCTTTTAACAGTATTCCAGTTATATCGCGGCGTGTCAGCTTAATGTGGGAGGAAAGCCTGAAGTGATGCAGGTCTCAGACGTTTACCACTTCGGTGAAACCCACGAGCACAGGTATGGTGCTGACAAACCTAGAAACATAATCGGGGCGAACCGGGATTCGAACCCACAACCATAGGTTTCTGGCGTGCCCAAGGGACGCAACTCTGCACAGCGAATCGTGGCGCCTTAGACGACTGGGCCACCCGTGCCCCCAGAACATCCACTAGGTCTGGACATGCCTGTGAAATATTCTCTAGAATCGCTGAGTCAAAGACAGTGGTCTGAAGCCCTGATCTCTGATGAAGAATACTGACATTTTCAGTGAGTTTGGTTCCACACCAAAGACAACGCAATGGAATAACGTGGTATAACTGCGTAACACCTACCTGCCCAGAGGCTTCTGTCAGTCCACACACGGAGTTGGCGAAATTCCTCACAGAGTCACAGAACTCATCAATGTCTCCTCTCTTGGCATGCTGGGAGATTCCTGTCATGGCTTCTCCCAGACTCTGAAATGTAGACACAGACATCAGCCACAGACCTTCAACACACAGACCAGCTACAGACCACCCACGTACAGACAGACAACAGGCAGGACATACAGACATACAGATAGGTACACACATGGACCAATCTCAAGTACAGTAAACTACATTTATAACGAACACGCTTATAACGAACTGACGAATATGACAAACTTATTTTTTTCCCAAGTCACTGCTGTATATATGCTATACATATGCTTAAAACGAACTACGGTTATAACAAATTAAAAGTAGTGGCCCATTTGAGTTTGTTATAACCATAGTTTACTGGAGATCCGATGTTTAACTCCGATATTCCATCAACATCCTCATTATGTCAGGTGAACTTTCTAATTAGACAATCAACTTCTAAATTCTCTGTATGAGCAAGCATATCATTTGGAACAGCTTACCTATCTTGAAACCAAATGTAAACAGGCAGTTCTGAATGCAAAATAATAATGGCTGTGCTTAGATGTTGATATTTTACGCCCCACATTGTTAAAAACTAAGCAGGAAAAGTTGAAAGTTAAAGATTTAGGGCTCCCTAGATTCAAATAGTACAGAAGAAAACCTAAAGGACCCCAGTACTTCTTCTTATTTGAATCACTGCTCAACAAATGTCACATCATTATTAACTGTCAGCTCTTAATGGTTAACCGGTTATAGTCATATGAAGATAAAAGTAACATAAACATAAAATTGGGGATGGAAATCAACAAGCTATAACATGTCTGACTGTAAATAATCAAAGCTGGGCCAGGAAACCAGTGACTGATAGAGTGAGCACCCAGCCAGGTCACCCATTTTAGCCATCCAATCCTCATATAATAACAGTCTTATATCAGACTGCTAAGGATCTAATGTTATTGTCAGTCTGTCCCACAAGAAACATTAGAGTTTGCTTGTCTGAACTTGCATCTTAGCATCATTTTCAGCTGTTTGGTTCTAAAACGGGCTATTATAAGCCGAGATTACAAGACTGAACATAATTTTTAACTTGTCTCAGGCTTTGGGCTTGTGGTAAAGTCACAGACTATTGTTAGTTTTGTTTGTTTGTTGTTTAACGCCACACTCAGCAATATTCAAGCTATATGACGACGGTCTGTAAATAATCAAGTCTGGACCAGACAATCCAGTGATTGACATCATGAGCATCAATCTACACAATGGGGATACGATGACACGCATGAACCAAGTTAGTGAGCCTGACCACCCGATCCTGTTAGTCGCCTCTTATGACAAGCATGTATTGCTGAAGACCAATTCCACCCTGGACCGTCACGGGGGTGTTTAACTCGACTCAGGCTTTGGGCTAGAGGTAAAGCAGCAGCAGACTGTTGTTAGCAGAACTATGGGTTATCAAAGCAATCTACCTGTCAACTTACTCTCACTGACTAGATAGGAGTGAACTTAGTGTAAGTGGAAAGGGCCTGGTTGATTTTCAACACTGACACAACAACGAGGAGAAAATTGTAATGAATCAAAATATGAAAACGTAGAAAACAAGATGAGAACACAGGACACCAGTACTGAGATGAAATGAGGTAGCTACATGAAGAAGATGGTGTAATCTAGGACAGCCGTGTACAATAAACTCTTACCTCCAGGTGACCCCCCGTTGGCTGATGATGAAACAATCACAGATTCACACATATGGAAAGTGGACATGTCGTTTGTTTGTTTGTTTGTTTGTTTGTTGTTTAAAGCCGCACTTAGCAATATTCCAGCTATATGACACCGGTCTGTAAGTAATCGGGTCTGGACCAGACAATCCAGTGATTGATATCATCAGCATCGATCCACACAATTGGGATACGATGACATGCATCAACCAAGTCAGTGAGTCAACCATCCGATCCCGCATGTCGCCTCTTACGACAAGCATAGTCACCTCTTACGGCAAGCATAGACACCTCTTATGGTAAGCTTGGGTTGCTGGAGACCTATTCCAACTTGGATCTTCACGGGTCTTAAAGTCAAGATGGAAAATCAGAGAGACTGGAAGTTTCTTTACTTTATACCACAGTCAGCAATATTCCAGCTATCTTAGTTCAGGGTTATGGACAATCCATATTGGGCAGGCACATCAGTGCATGATAAACATTCATGAATGCTGTTGGCAGCACGATGACATAGCCCTGTCACAGAGGATGATCATTCATTTCCCATGTTTGTTTATTTGTTTGTTTGTTTGTTTGTTTGTTTGTATGCTTGCTGTAAGTTTGTTTGTTGTATAACGCCACACTCAACTATATTTCAGCTATAAGACTGCAGTCTGTAAAAAGTCAAGTCTGGACCAGACGATCCAGTGATTGACATCATGAGCAGCGATCTATGCACTTGGGATATGATGACATGCATCAAGGATGTCAGTAAACTGACCACCCGATCCTGTTTGTCGCCTCTACAAGCATGGGTTGCTGAAGACCTATTCTAACTGTGACCTTCCTGTACAGGTGTACAGGCATCAACTGTGTATGGCCTCTACAACAAGCATGGGTTGCTGAAGACCTATTCTAACTGTGACCTTCCTGTACAGGCATACAGCCATCAACTGTGTATGGCCTCTACAACAAGCATGGGTTGCTGAAGACCTATTCTAACTGTGACCTTCCTGAACAGGTGTACAGGCATCAACTGTGTATGGCCTCTACAACAAGCATGGGTTGCTGAAGTCCTATTCTAACTGTGACCTTCCTGAACAGGTGTACAGGCATCAACTGTGTGGGGGGTGTCAGGTGCATGAGGAGATGAATGATGGCTCACAACATGAAGCGTCACAAACATGGACACACAATGACAGCGAGTTCAGAAACACGTCAGTCCTATCTAGTAACATGGATGTTGGTACTGACTAGATTATGCTAGATATCTGGTATCTTGTTTATGTAACGCTGCACTCAGCAATATTCCAGCTATGATGGCGGCTTGTAAATAATCAAATCTGGACCAGACAATCCAGTGATTGATATAGTGAGCAACGATCCATGTCATTAGGGAACAATGACACACTATCAGCAAAGTCACTGAGGCTGACCACCCAAGCAACGACCAGCATAGGTTTCTGGGAACCAATTCTAACCTGGAATCCATGGGTCTCTCTGGTACCTTATTCCAGAAGCAAGTTAAAGGTATTCTAGTCTTGCTGTGTATACCGTACAAACTGTCTGAGGACTGCTATAGGAGTGGCAGGGCAGTCATACCGATATGTTCAGGGATTTTGTTCCTGGTATTATTCCAAAGTGAGACCACAAGAAATCCCCAAACATTCCCATTCCATTTCACTGATAATTGGACAAATGATGAAGAAAATGTTTGGCTACGTGGTTTTACATTATTTCATTGAATGCAATGACAAAATATCTTTGAAAAAATGCAGACTTTAATAAATTCTGAATTCTTGTTCCTAATTTGCCTGCCACAAGCACTTGTCTGAAGTCTTTGACAACTTCTATATCACTTGATGAATATGGTTGAGTGACTCACCTTTGATTTGTCCATAACTCCATCAAGGCACTCGAAATACGGGGCATCACTGATTGGCTCGTTGGCGTTGTCAAGGAGATTGTGCATCATCTCTATCTGGCGCAGGGCGTTGTCGCACTCCTTCTGTCCGGGGGCGGACACGGTGCAGATGTTGATGAGGTGGTTGATGCTCTCTGTCACCGCCCTGTGAGAACATCACACACGGTGAACACATGGTGAACACATGGTGAACATAGTGAACACAGTCTCACAACAACAGTGGTTTGGCGATTAGAGTGAGTTAGTTAGTTTTAACGCCCATTTGAACAGTATTAGTTATATCATGCCGTGTCAGCTTAATGTGGGAGGAAAGCCCTAAGTGATACAGGTCTTTGATGTTTTCCACTTCGTTGAAACCGATGAGCACAGGTGTGGTGCTGACAAACCTAGAAACATGATCTGGTCGAACCGGGATTCAAACCCACAATCAAAGGTTTCTGGAGTGCCCCCGGAACATCACCATGAAAAGTACAATGATAGCAATCAACCAAGTCTCACCACCAGATCCGATCCAGTTGCCTCATAGGACGAGCAGTGAATGTTTGGAACATGTTCTAATCCAGGACCGAACACACAAAGCGGCTATGCTAAGGGCACTATCAGCATCTATGCTAAGGGCACTATCAGCGGCTATGCTAAGGGCACTATCAGCAGCTATGCTCAGGGCACTATCAGCAGCTATGCTAAGGGCACTATCAGCAGCTATGATAAGGGCACTATCAGCGGCTATGCTAAGGGCACTATCAGCAGCTATGCTAAGGGCACTATCAGCAGCTATGCTAAGGGCACTATCAGCAGCTATGCTAAGGGCACTATCAGCAGCTATGCTAAGGGCACTATCAGCAGCTATGCTAAGGGCACTATCAGCAGCTACGGGGATGTTACGCGTGCCCTTTAGAACAAGTTACATTGGTTTCAGAACATGATGAACACCACCATGAACTCCTCACCTTGCAGCCTGGGCCAGGAGGTTCTTGGCGTTGGGGGCATTAGGGTCGGCCGAGACGGACTTGGCTGCCAGCAGTAGCTTACTGGACACCATGGACACGCTCTTGAGGCCACCCACGATCTGGTTCTGTGTCTCCACGTCCTTGGAGAGTCCGGCCATGGTGAGTCCGGTGTCCACGAACTCCTGGTAGGAGTGTCCGTACTGGGAGGAGGACATGGCCAGCTGCTGGGGGGTGCCGCGGGACGACGTCACAATGTTGCTGGCCGCCTGGTTCAAGCCTACTGCTGCGTTGTTCATGTCGACCTGAACATCTTGGTACGACTTGCCCGTCCCGGGGAACTACACCAATAGACATGTGTTCCATACAATAAAAGAGGGGATAAAATACAACTGAATGATTGAGTAAGTAGAGTGTAGGTATTTTAGTTTGTTTGTTGTTTGAACTACACCAATAGACATGTGTTCAATACAATAAAGGAGGGGATAAAATACAACTGAATGATTGAGTAAGTAGAGTGTAGGTATTTTAGTTTGTTTGTTGTTTAATGGCGCGCTCAGCAATAATCCAGTCGCCTTTTAAGACAAGCATGGGTTACTGAAGACCAATTCTAACCCGGATCTTCACGGGGTTGGAGCGTAAGTAGAGTGAATGAGTATGTATGATATGAAACCACTTAAGTTTGTTTGTTTGTTTGTTTGTTCGTTGTTTAACGCTGCACTCAGCAATATTCCAGCTATATGACGGCAGTCTGTAAATAATCGAGTCTGGACAAGACAATCCAGTGATTAATATCATCAGCATCGATCCACGCAATTGGGACCGATGACATGTATCAACCAAGTCAGCGAGCCTGACCACCCGATCCCGTTAGTCGCCTTTTACGACAAGCATAGTCACCTTTTACGGCAAGCATGGGTTGCTGGAGACCTATTCTACCCGGATCTTCACAGGTCTTAAACCACTTAAACGGAGGACACAAGAAATGTGCTCATACATTGTACCCATGAGGGGAATCAAACCGAGGCTTTAACCACAAGGCAGCTAGGACCTACCCGAGGGGAGGAGAGAGTCTGGCTGGAGGCGGTGATGTGTCTGAGGGCGGCGTCCACGTCTCTCTGACCTGGCAGGCAGTTCACACAGTTGTTGAGGGCGTTCGACACACTCTTGGATACCTGCAACACACAATATGCTTGTTTACAACTCTGCTGTCTGCTGAATAGCGTTACCTCAGGGTTCGAAATTAACATGTCCGCTCGTCTGAGACTAGTAAACTTCAGGCCGGACAAGTGACATTTCCTTGTGAGACATTTACTGTTAACATTAGCTACTTACTTTTAACATCAGCTACTTACTGTTAACATTAGCAAGATGTAGCTGTTTTTGTGGATCCGTAAAAATGAAAATTAATTTCTAGCCCTGCACTGAAGACCAACAACACTGTCTGCTCTGGCTACAGTAGATTGTCTACTCAACACTGAATACTGAACTCGGTCTTAATACCTGGTTGAGCCTCTGTCTACTGTCTACACATTCCTGGTCGAGCTTCTGTCTACTATCTACATGTACCTGGTTGAGCCTCTGTCTAGTGTCTACATGTACCTGGTTGAGCCTGTCTACACGTACCTGGTCGAGCCTCTGTCTACTGTCTACACGTACGTGGTCGAGCCTCTGTCTACTGTCTACACGTACCTAGTTGAGCCTCTGTCTACCTACACGTACCTGGTTGAGCCTCTGTCTACACGTACCTAGTTGAGCCTCTGTCTACTGTCTACACGTACCTGATTGAACCTCTGTCTACACGTACCTGGTTGAGCCTCTGTCTACTGCCTACACGTACCTGGTTGAGCCTCTGTCTACACGTACCTGGTTGAGCCTCTGTCTACTGCCTACACGTACCTGGTTGAACCTCTGTCTACACGTACCTGGTTGAGCCTCTGTCTACACGTACCTGGTTGAGCCTCTGTCTACACGTACCTGGTTGAGCCTCTGTCTACTGTCTACACGTACCTGGTTGAGCCTCTGTCTACACGTACCTGGTTGAGCCTCTGTCTACTGTCTACACGTACCTGGTTGAACCTCTGTCTACTGTCTACACGTACCTAGTTGAGCCTCTGTCTACTGTCTACACGTACCTGGTTGAGCCTCTGTCTACTGCCTACACGTACCTGGTTGACCCTCTGTCTACACGTACCTGGTTGAGCCTCTGTCTACTGCCTACACGTACCTGGTTGAACCTCTGTCTACACGTACCTGGTTGAGCCTCTGTCTACACGTACCTGGTTGAGCCTCTGTCTACACGTACCTGGTTGAGCCTCTGTCTACTGTCTACACGTACCTGGTTGAGCCTCTGTCTACACGTACCTGGTTGAGCCTCTGTCTACTGCCTACACGTACCTGGTTGAACCTCTGTCTACTGCCTACACGTACCTGGTTGAGCCTCTGTCTACACGTACCTGGTTGAACCTCTGTCTACACGTACCTGGTTGAGCCTCTGTCGACTGCCTACACGTACCTGGTTGAGCCTCTGTCTACACGTACCTGGTTGAGCCTCTTTCTACTGCCTACACGTACCTGGTTGAACCTCTGTCTACACGTACCTGGTTGAGCCTCTGTCTACACGTACCTGGTTGAGCCTCTGTCTACACGTACCTGGTTGACCCTCTGTCTACTGTCTACACGTACCTGGTTGAACCTCTGTCTACACGTACCTGGTTGAGCCTCTGTCTACTGCCTACACGTACCTGGTTGAACCTCTGTCTACACGTACCTGGTTGAGCCTCTGTCTACACGTACCTGGTTGAGCCTCTGTCTACATGTACCTGGTTGAGCCTCTGTCTACTGCCTACACGTACCTGGTTGAGCCTCTGTCTACTGCCTACACGTACCTGGTTGAGCCTCTGCCTACTGTCTACACGTACCTGGTTGAGCCTCTGTCTACACGTACCTGGTTGAGCCTCTGTCTACACGTACCTGGTTGAGCCTCTGCCTACTGTCTACACGTACCTGGTTGAGCCTCTGCCTACTGTCTACACGTACCTGGTTGAGCCTCTGCCTACTGTCTACACGTACCTGGTTGAGCCTCTGCCTACTGTCTACACGTACCTGGTTGAGCCTCTGTCTACTGCCTACATGCACCTGGTTGAGCCTCTGCCTGCTGTCTACACGTACCTGGTTGAGCCTCTGTCTACACGTACCTGGTTGAGCCTCTGTCTACTGTCTACACGTACCTGGTTGAGCCTCTGTATGTTCTCGGGGTTGCTGGGGTCCCGCATCACCCGCTTGGCCTCCTCCAGAAGGATGACAGACTTGTCCATGATGTCCTGGGCACACTCGATGATGGCGTGCTGGACCTGCCTGTCCGTGGTGGTTGCAGCAACACCGCGCACTGCTGACGTCAACACCCGCAATGCGTTGGCCGTATCCCGAGCAGCGATACCAACATAGTCTTCATTACCCTGAAGAAAAGACACAAAAAACACTTCAATTTCATATTTTTAGGTTTCGTTTGTTGTTTTACGCCAGTAGTCAGGAATATACAAGCTGACTGACTAAATAATCCAGTCAGTCAACCCAGTGGCTGATCAGTGTCAGTCACAAAGCACAACCACTCCATAACAATGTTATTGGGCTCTGAAACAAGTTAAGGCAGTGATGAGTGAGTGAGTAAGTATGGTTTTACGCTGCTTTAAGCAATATTCCAGCAATATCACGGCGGGGGACACCAAAATGGGCTTCACACATTGTACCCATGATGGGAATCGAAACCGGGTCTTCGGCGTGACGAGCGAACGCTTTAACCACTAGGCTACACGACCGCCCCAAGGCAGTGATGAAAATATTCTGACCAGAATACTTCATGCTTGGCTGTCACATCTGATAAACCCTTCAACCTCATGTATTCCTTGCAATCACATTTAATCTACAGAAGAATAGAAGCAAACTAGCAATAAAAAAAAAGAGACAAGGGGAGACAACCGATGACAGGGGAGACAACCAAAGACAGGGGAGACAACAGACCTGAGCTGCAGCTGTGAGCAGCTGTGCCATAGAGGAGCCGACCGTCTTGGACGTAGTTCCCAGCTGGAGAGCAGCTGACTGAGCCTGTGGGGAGAGAATCACTGAGCTACATCACGTGTAAACCACACACACTAGATGCTCTACTGCCCAGGCTACACTTGACAGTGAGTTACGAACATAGCAATTGGAGCCCTGGGGCCCTTTAGGTTTCCCCAATAACATCTGAATCTACGGACATCCAAAATGTTTGATTCTTAACCTCAGGGTTGACATTCATGCATACTTTCATGTTAATCATTAACACTGCGCTAGCACACACGGGATGATGTGATGTCGCTCTTCACAGATAATAATCAACTGTGTGGGAAATTATCTTTTTTCACTTCATGACCCAAAATATCTGTACCTGTAATATTCCTATGTCTAACTAACCTAAGTCACATTTTATGTTTTTAAGAAGGCAACTTTTTGATGGCACTTTGCCCATTACTGCTACACGGACATAATGTAATAAACATTTTCTCTTCAGGAAACAATCAGTTAACAAAGACTCCGCATGCAGTAAAGAAGCTGCAGTTGTCCACTACTAGCGATGACGTACCGTCTCTCCAGGCAGGGGGACGAGGCGTCCTTCGTTTGTTGCCTTCTTGATCTCGTCCAGCTGGTAGTTGAGTCCATGCACCTGGTCCAGGGCGGACTCCACCTCCAGTGTGCCACACGCCTCCTGGGCCTACACAACGGAGGGATCACATGCTGAATAGAGTCAGACTAAATCCACGCTAAAAGCTTGCTTGTATACTGTGGAGTGAGTGAGTGAGTGAGTGAGTGAGTGAGTGTGGTTTTACGCCGCTTTTAGCAATATTCCAGCAATATTACGGTGAGGGACACCAGAAACATTGTATCAATGTCGGGAATCGAACCCGGGTCTTTGGCGTGACGAGCCAACGCTTTAACCACTAGGCTACCCGACCGCCCCGTATACTGAGGAAGGAGAATAAGGATGGTTTTATGCCCCTTTCAGCAACATTCCCGCAATATCAGTGGGCGTGAAACCAGACAGGGATTACATACTGGGTGTAGGATGTCAACAGTGAGTGTCTTGTGTCGCATTACAGATGTCAGTTTAACTGTTGACCCGTTGGCCCGTGGCCAGTTAAAATTACAAAGGGCTTGCTGAAACGTCTAGGAGATGGCCCGTCTGGCTGGCCAACATTTTACCCCATCTCAGTGTATGTTCAATTTTTGTAATTTGGTCATCGCGGTAAAATGACAACCGGACGCCATTTTGTAATGTTGTGCACAACATCTTTATTTGCTCATAAATTACTATTCATATTCCAGGTGTGTCATGGAGGCCTACTGTGGAAGGGTTACACAAAGAAGTCAGACATTTCCCCCACCCAATCCCCACCTTAAACTTAAGACAAGCTACTGGGAAGCTATTCTGACCCAGAAGCTCCAGTCTCTTGACACGGGGACCCAGTTCAGGAAATGTTTGTATTCTCAGTGTGATAGAGGGCACTAACAAAGACAACCGTAACTTTTGGACAATGGACACACTTGAACAATGAGTTGTTGAGTTTGAAAGTCAGTTTTGTCATGTCTGGGTAATGTGGGACAAAACCTAAAGATTTTTGTTTTGTTTGTCTGTTGTTTATGCTGCAGTCAGCACTATTCAAGCCCTATAACAGTGGCTGTACTTTCATTGAGCCTGGGCCAAATAAACCACGGGCAAATATGCATTATGTTCTACAACGACACTGTCTGGTACGACGTAGTCAATCAACTAAGTCACTGACTCTGACCAACTCGGAATCAATACGCAAGGAATCTGTGAGACTGACCTTCGATGAGGCTGTCCTGAGTTCTGCGAGTGCTGATGTCATGGCCTTGACGCTGTTGTGGAGATTGAGGACTGCAGCCTGGTCCGTCACTGTTGGAGCGGCGGCGTTAGCGGCAGCCACCATCCTGCTGGCCGGCTTCAAGAACATACAATATATATACTTATGTTTCAGTGTTGAAGTTGTTAAATGCATCATTAGTGTGTGTGACGTAGCACTAGGAACTGATATGTGGATGTGTATGACGTGTGTGTGACGTGTGTGTGACGTGTGTGTGTGTGACATGTGTGTGCATGTGAGTGTGACATGCATGCAACGTGTATGACGTGTGTGCATGTGTGAGTGTGACATGCACGTGACGTGTGTCAGTGTGACATGCATGTGACGTGTATGATGTGTGTGCATGTGTATGACGTGTGACGTGTGTGCATGTGTGAGTGTGACATGTATGTGACGTGTATGACGTGTATGTGTATGACGTGTGTGTGCATGTGTGAGTGTGACATGCACGTGACGTGTATGACATGTGTGACGTGTGTGACATACCTGTATGACGTGTGTGACGTGTGTGTGCATGTGAGTGTGACATGCATGCGACGTGTATGATGTGTGTGATGTGTATGACGTGTGTGACGTGTGTGTGCATGCGAGTGTGACATGTATGTGGCGTGTATGACATGTATGACGTGTGTGACGTGTGTGACATGTATGTGACGTGTATGACGTGTATGACATGTATGACTTGTATGACGTGTATGACGTGTGTGACATACCTGTATGAAGTCCTGGCTGGCGTTGATGAGAGACAGCTGCGCGGTGGCGCTGTCCTGACTGCGCTGGGAGGCCCGGATAGCGTGTACCAGGGGGGGTATCTCCTCATTCACAGCCTACAACACACACAGTTCTAGGTCAGTGACCACTGATACTTTCCCTGCAGGTAACAGCTACAGCCAATAAGTCACACACCCCGTTTTCTGCTAATATCCACATATTTTATGTTGTCTCTTATTATGAGCTTAATCAAAACTGTCAGATGTATACATCATAAAATTCCATTCAGGAGACTTGCAATTGAACAGAACTTGTTCTTCTCTACAATTTGAGTGAAAGACTTTTGTTTAACAAACTGCCTTCAACAATTTTGAACAGTACCATTTTGGTGACACCTCCAAGCATGGTAAGGTGTTGACAAATGTAGAATACAGGATTGAAAGCCAAGATCATAGGTTCCTGGCAACTCAAAGGGAGATAACTCTGCACAGCAAATTGTGGTGCTTTAGACAACTGGGACACCCGTATGAGTCTGAGATATAAGATGAGACAGACTTTGATTAAAAATCGCCCACTGAGCCTGTACAACCCCAGGCACCAGTACAGAGTCCCTGTCACCCACCTCACACTGCTGTCGGAGCTGGGCCTCCGTGGTGGCGTTACGGTTCGTCTTGTTGGCGAGGGAGGAGGAGTTGATGAGCTGGGTGGCGGCAGCAGCAGCATGGTTGGCGGCATTCTGGAACAGAACAAACATGGTGAACTATTGGCGATTTATCTTAACGGAAAATTGTTTTTCTGACAAATTATGCAGTTCTGTTAGTCCATATTTTCATGTAATGTTATGGCGATAATTATCTAAGCAGTCGCTTACCTCCAGCCTGTTGATCAGCTTCCTCTTCAGCTGGTTGCTGGCAGCTGCGTTGGTGGCGGAGCGCAACTCCTCTGCCGCGGACCGGAGAATCTGCTGCTGGTCGGAGTCATTGGGATTGGAGGCACAGCCCTGACAATGTAGAACAAGGGAGTGAATGTCTAGCTCTGCTCCCAGCAAGATTCCACCCATATCACATCACAGAGTTCTACCTAACAGTCCAGTTTAGTCTAACAACCAGGTACCTCCAACAACCTATTCTAACCCGGTCAAAATGAAGTCAATGAATAGTCAGACACTAAAGCTTCACAATGGTCTCTGATATTATTTAAAATCCATGAAGACAAAATCTATTTGTGCTATTCCTTATCACGTCACATCCTAGATTGAGAAGGCTAAGAAAAAATTAGCCCAAAATTAATTCTGATAGCTTTGATATTTCTCAGTTCGACCCATTTCACTCCCAATCAGTTCCATGGAACTGCCATCCCTTGTATGTCATCTCTATGTCATCTCTATGTCGTCTCTATGTCATCTCTATGTCATTTCTATGTCGTCTCTACATCATCTCTATGTCATCTCTATGTCATCTCTACGTCGTCTCTACGTCATCTCTACATTGTCTCTACGTCATCTCTACGTCATCTCTACATCGTCTCTACATCGTCTCTACGTCATCTCTACGTCATCTCTACGTCATCTCTACATCATCTCTACGTAGTCTCTACGTCATCTCTACGTCATCTCTACGTCTTCTCTATGTCTTCTCTATGTCGTCTCTACGTCATCGCTCCTACTGTTGTGGTCCTGAACACACTGAGAGTCCTCACCTTGGCCGCCTCCACCAGTTTGGCTGTAGCGTCAGCAAGTTGTTTAGCTGCTGCTAGGAGACGCTTCTGTACGTCGGAGTCGGTGTTGGTCTCAGCCTGGTTCCTGATGGCACTGACCAGCTGGGACGTGGCCTGCAACACAACATACGGTCCTGACTTCTATCTGATCAGACAGACCATGTGCTCTTACAGTTTGTTTATTTGTTTGTTGCTTAATGCTACAGTCAGTGACATGATGCTTGTTTGTTTGATTGTTTGTTCAATGCCGCACTCAGCATTATTTCAGCCATATGATGGCGGACTGCTTATAATAAGAGTCTGGACCAGACAATCCAGTGATTGACATCATGAGCATCGATCCAGGTAATTGGAATACCATGACATGCATCAACCAAGTCAGTGAGTCTGACCACCCGATCCCGTTAGTCGCCTCTCATGACAAGCATAGTTGTCTTTTACGGCAAGCATGGGTTGCTGAAGATCTATTCTACCCCGGATCTTCACAGATATCAGGCGATAAGTCTGGACCACAAGGTTTCGGAAAATGAAACAGTAACCCAGCAACAAACAGACACAAATAGATGAGGCTCCAGCTGTGGTTACCCATGCGAGGAACTGAGTGAGTGAGTGAGTGAGTTTGATTTTACGCCGCTTTTAGCAATATTCCAGCAATATCACGGCGGGGGACACCAGAAATGGGCTTCAAACATTGTACCCATGTCGGGAATCGAACCCGGTTTTCAGCGTGACGAGCGAACGCTTTAACCACTAGGCTACCCGACCGCCCCTGTGAGGAGCTGAGACTAGGATGAGCTACTCTACTTGTCACACTCCGGACTCACCTGGGCCAGGTGTCGGGCCTGCTTGACCATCTCATGGGCGTCGCCCACACTGCTGAACAGGTTGTCTGTGACGGTGATGATCTGGTCCACCGCCTCCTCATGCTGCTCACTGGCCTGCAATCATCATCATCATCATCATCATCACTATCATCATCATCATCATCATCATCATCATCATCAATTTCAACTCTGGGCACACAGACATATCAACTGAAAAAGTCAGGCCCTATGGTTTTTACATTGAACAGCTATCAGTTCTGGGAATGTCTTGTATGCTAAAAGATGACTTTAATTAACTCTTTGACATTTGATACACTTGAAAAGTGAGATAGTGAGCTTTTATTGGTTTTGTATGTTTGTTGCTTAACGCCTACAAGATATTCAAGCTATGGGACAGCATTCTGAAAACATCAAATCTGGATCAGACAATTCAGTGATTGACATCATGAGCATCGATGAACATAATTGGGATATGATGACATGCATTAACCAAGTCAGCGAGTCTGACCACTCAAATGGCTTGGTGAACACCAGTTCTAACCCTGGTCTTCAAGGGACATTTCACAGGACGATTGACTATGTACTGACCCTGACAGGCACAGCGGCCTTCTTGATATGTTGCAGGAGGTCATTGAGGGCCTTGGTGACGGCCGTGGCGGCGCCGCCCAGATCCTGCAGCAGGTGGTCGTCCTTACATGCAGACTGTGCTGCCTCCACGATGCCCTCCACAGACTTGGCGACGAGCTTGGCGGCCTCGATCAGCTGTTCCTGGCAGGCTGGGTTCCCGATGGTGGGCGCCACAACCTGAGGGGAGGGGAGGTGACATGGGGGTTTAACTTCATGGTCAACATTATGTAGCGACATGGAACATGGATGCAGAGATGGTAAAATCATTACAATCATAAAGTCGTAAACGCTAATACTGATCACCAATTTCTATTGGAAACTACAAGTTTTACATCCAAAATATCTAAGTTAACAGGAAATAACAAGAACAGACTTTAAACGTCTTTTGGTAGGATGGGGCCGGGTATCAAACCACCGGCCTTCTTCTCTCTGAGCAGATGCTCTATCTACTAGACCACGGTGGCAGTCCCCTGATGGGAGATGAGAGTTGAGTGATGTGAGATGAGAGTTGAGTGATGGGAGATGAGAGTTGAGCGATGTGAGATGAGAGTTGAGTGATGTGAGATGTGAGATGAGTGATGTGAGATGAGAGTTGAGTGAGGTGAGTTGAGTGATGTGATATGAGAGTTGAGTGATGTGAGATGAGAGTTGAGTGATGTGAGATGAGAGTTGAGTGATGTGAGATGAGAGTTGAAAGTTGAGTGATGTGAGTTGAGTGTTGAGAGATGTGAGATGAGAGTTGAGTGATGTGAGATGAGAGTTGAGTGATGTGAGGTGAGAGTTGAGTGATGGGAGATGAGAGTTGAGTGATGTGAGATGAGAGTTGAGTGATGTGACATGAGAGTTGAGTGATGGGAGATGAGAGTAGAGTGATGTGAGATGAGAGTAGAGTGTTGAGTGATGTGAGATGAGAGTTGAGTGATGTGAGATGAGAGTAGAGTGATGTGAGATGAGAGTTGAGTGGTGTAGTTACCTTGGTGCAGGCCACCAGCTGGGACGTGGCGAGGGCGCACTGGGTGGCGGAGCTGATGACCCTGTTCTGCAGACCCTGGTCCTCAGTCTTGGAGGCCACGTTCTTTGCCTTCAGCACCAGCGCCGCCGTGGCATTAGCCACTGCCTTAGCCAGTGACAGGAGCGTGTCCTGCAAACACACACAGAGACTAGTGTAACAACAAACTTAAGGATTGAAATGACAGCGGACAACTTTCTCATCTTAGTATTTTGCTGCCATTGTCTGGCCGGGACACCAAAATCATATGATATGAAGATTGTTTTATCACTTAGTATCTATTTTGGTGGTAACAACTTCCGATAATATGAAGAGCCTTTTGATTGGACACTATAAATAGACTTCATACCAGTTGAAAACAACATGATATAAGGCTAATAAAATAATGACCAACAGTGTCTCATTTTTGTTTTATCAACATAAGGTAAATCTAGTCCTGCTGAATATTTTTAAGATTAAATTGGCACACTATTTGGGTGAATGATGGAATAAAGACAGTTGGGTTTTTTTGTTTTTAGTTTCAAATTCTTAACACGTGCAAACAATTTGGCAGCTATGTCACAGTGATCCCAGCTTTTGGGGGATGATTAATACAGACGAGTTACTAGCTGAGTGAAAATATGGTAGAGAAACACACAAGGCTAATGATTTCAAATATACAATGTCATGCTAAAATAAGAGTAAGACATATTTTCATTGACTTCCATAAGTTTAGAAACAGTGCTGGAATACAATGCCTGAAACTGACAAACATTCTTAAGCCAAAATAAAAAAAGATTTTATTCTGACTTTGCCAAATGCAGTCCATACAACTCATCATCACTTCAATCAACAAGCACTATTTATGATCCTGTGAACTAATGGCCTCCTGCAGGGCTGTACTTAGTCTGTCCTACAGACCCTGATACAAATATATATCAAATACAGCCCATGCAAGTCTATAATGTTTGGCAAGTCTAGATTACTGCAGTATCTGAAAATGAAGAGAGTCACTGGGCTCCCTTTTATTATATTCTTATTAAGATAACTGAACAACTGTTTTTACTGTAGGATATGTTCATTTCAGAGACTAGATGTTAGTCTAGGCTGTACTGACCTGGAAGACTCTGTCCAGGTCCTCAGTGGTCTCGCCGACCTCATCCATGACCTCCTGGCTGGCCTCCCCAATCTTGCTGGCAGCTGCTAGCAGGTTCTGGCGCGGCTGCAATACACAGACACCGGTTAGCTACATACGAGATGGTCGATATCATCATACATACAGCCAGTGTACTGTAGGCCAGGACCATAATAGTTTATCTGTTTGTCTGTTCCTTAACACCAGACCAATATTCCAGCAATAGGATGCTGGTCTTCATCAAACATGGACCAAACAATCCAGTGATATACATCATTAGCATTGATCTAAAACAATTCTTGACATGCATCAACCAAGTCAGCGAGGCTGACAACCAGATCCATTTAGTTGCCTCTTACGACAAGCAAAGGTTGCTGGGGACATATATTCTTATTTTGAATCCCCACCGGTCAACTACAGTTCTAGCAGTATTGAAGTCAGTGAATTGAATGAGTGAGTTTGATTTTACGCCGCCTTTAGCAATATTCCAGCAATATCACGGTGGGGGACACCAGAAATGGGCTTCACACATTGTACCCATGTCGGGAATCGAACCCGGGTCTTCGGCGTGACGAGCAAACGCTTTAACCACTAGGCTACCCGACCGCCCTGAAGTCAGTGAAACAATGAGACACATAAGTTGACCTGAACCTGGACAAGCTTCACGTCCACAGTTCTCATGAAGTGATGCGGATAAACACAGGTTTGAGTCTGCAACTTGTGCACCAATTCTAACCCAGAATCTAGGGCTGCGACGGGTAAGTCGGGTACTCGGGTCTGGTGGGTACTGAGAAGGACCCGGGTTCCACAGAATTACCCAGACCCGTGGTTGGTCATGTGATATATTGTTTAATGGCAAAAATGATCTTGAACTACATGGTTACACTACAAGTCACTAATGTTCGCATTTCTTTCTGACTATGCACCAAGACTTTTATATGTTTGAATAAAGATAAAACTTCAGTCAACGTCAGTGTATGCGTGTCCAGATCGATTCATACGTGTATCTAAATACATTTTGTCCAGGGCTACAGTCAAACTATTCAAAATCAGACATTTTGTATCTCTTGAGACCAACAGTGGATACCCGGGTAGGGTCGGATAATAGGTGGGTGGGTACCATGGTAGTAAATTTGGACTCGTCCCACCCCTACCAGAATCACCACGTTCCCAATTTAGTGACCTCTACAGAGCCTACAAGTGGAGGGAATGCAACACTGAAATGTGTTGTGAGTGAGTGAGTATGATTTTACGCCGCTTTTAGCAATATTCCAGCAATGTCACGGCAGGGGACACCAGAAATGGGCTTCACACATTGTACCCATGTAAGGAATCGAACCCGTGTCTTTGGTGTGACGAGCGAACGCTTTAACCACTAGGCTACCCGACCGCCCGATATGTATTATGAAGAAATATATCCTGGTATGTTCACCTCCACATTGGCGGGCGTTGCAGCATTGAGGAGGTCAGAGAAGGCGCCGGCGAGGCGTCGGGCAGCGTCCAGCAGTTTGTCATTGTTCTCTTCCTGTAGGGCAGCCACCATCTTCACATCCCGGCTGAACTGACCCAGGTTGGACGAACTGGAGACATGGAGGGAAGTTCCTCATTATCACAGTAGTCACAGGGGAGATGATAAACAGAGACGAGTTAGATACCAGATACCTTCCGCCATATTGGTAAGGAAAGTGCACAAGCTCCTTCCTTAGTAACAGTTACAAAGTTTTTTAGTAGCTATTTATAGCCTTAGTGAAGGAAGAATGTGCTCACATTTGATGGACGGCTGAGCCGACAGCGTTGTAGTCGATCTCGTCCTCCTTGCCGGAGGTGAGCGTGACGAGCTGCGCCGTGGCGGCGTTCATGGCGGACAGCTGGGAGCCCACCTTCTGTCTGTTGAGGTCCAGCTGGTTCTCACGCCACTTCTTGGAGGCCTGGCAACAGCAAGAGCATCATCAACACACCGGTACATCTAATGAAAGGACTCCAGACTTTCTTCTGTTCATATATCAGGCACTTTACACTGAACAACAACACTCCTCATATCTATTGGATGTAAACAAACCAAACATTGCACAATTTCACGGTGATACTAGTTTCTTAGAAAACAATCTTAGGAAAAGATAAAGCTGCTATCTAAAGTTGATTCACTTGCCGTAGGAGACACCATGCAACATCGATAGAAGCAAACAGTTTTAGACCACCAGTCAAAAAATGATAGTATATAGCCAAACCCTTAAACAGAGCAAAATTTCTAATAGACGTTATGATACCTCAACTTTTGGGCAGTTTGGCAAGGACTGGACCAGACAATCCAGTGATTAATATCATGAGCATCGATCCACACAATTGAGATCGATGACATGCATCAACCAAGTCAGCGAGCCTAGCCACCTGATCCCGTTAGTCGCCTTTTACGACAAGCATGGGTTGCTGAAGACCTATTCTACCCCGGAATCGTCACGGGTCCAATATGGGGCAGGACCAAAGCCTTAGAGACTGTCAAGTCAAACTGCGGAACACGGTCACCATCCAACTACTCCTTGCGACCAATGTTCCCCCACAATGTTGCTATACATACCGCGTCTGATCCGAGCTTGGGGACCTGTGCCCTCTGTTGTAGATCTGTCCTGGCCATGTTGACGGAGGACAGTCCCTCCTCGATGGTGGTCAACAGGGCCTTCTGGGACTGGTTGAGGCCGTGCTGCTGGGCGTTCTGACCCTACAGTGGACAGCACTAGTCAGTACACACAGGCTACACAATGTGGGTTAACTGGGGTAAATTCTGTGTGTACTCGATAGTAATACAAGTTATTGTAGATAAGTGTCATCCATTACTGCATAGTATCTGATAATGGAACAGCTGACATTGATGTAAGTCACTAAAACAGTTTTTGAATGAAACAAAATGAAACAAAATAAAACAAAGTCTACCGCCACAAAAAAGGTTCAACTGAACTTACGATGCTATTTTCTACTTTTATTACATTTATTTTAAATACTGCAACAAAAGATTTTCACTAAGAAAATACTGACATATCAAACAGGAACTGAAGACAGCCAGTAACAACGTGAACGTAACGAGACGCTACACCATCGGTACATACACAGACACTGACAGGTACTCGCAACACACATGCTGACCAAGTCAACGCCATGCACAAATATCACTGCTACTCCTTGCTCCAATATAATCCACACAACACACTTTCAGACATTCTCAACTCTAAGGTAATACACTCTAGTGGACAGTTCAACAACATGCTGCCAGGTCCATGAGCACAAAGTGATCGTAGCTACGACTAATGTAATATGCGAGTTACGTCATAGAACTAAGACTGCTTTGTGCACACGGTCCATTAGCAGGAACAGACATACAGTTGCTACCTGGCACTGTCTGCACAAAGTGATCATAGCTCAGAATATTGTATGGGAGTTACGATGTCATAGAGCTATGATTGCTTTGTGCACACGGTCCATTAGCAGGAACAGACATACAGTTGCTACCTGGCACCGCCTGCACAAAGTGATCATAGCTGAGATAACTGCATGGGAATAATAATGTCAAGCTATGATTGCTTCGTGCACACGGTCCATGAGCAGTAACAGACATACAGTTGTTACCTGGCACCGCCTGCACAAAGTGATCATAGCTGAGATAACTGCATGGGAATAATAATGTCAAGCTATGATTGCTTTGTGCACACGGTCCATGAGCAGGAACAGACATACAGTTGCTACCTGGCACCGCCTGCACAAAGTGATCATAGCTCAGATAACTGCATGGGAATAATAATGTCAAGCTATGATTGCTTTGTGCACACGGTCCATGAGCAGGAACAGACATACAGTTGTTAGACAGCATTCATAACAGGTCAAACATTCAGTAGGGAGGTACCAAACCAAGGGTACCAAACCAAGGGTACCAAACCAAGGGTACCTAACGAGGGTATCAAAGAGGGTACCAGAAATCTATGAAAGATTTATCTGCAGCTGTTTCGGCCAGCCTCAGGATCACAAGGACATAAAAGAAGAGTAGGTTACCACGAGGATGTCTGCCAGGGATCAACTCAAGGCCGAGTATTACACTTAGGTTCATGGTATGTCTTAACAATTCCTAATTCTTGAACAGTGTCAATGAATGCTGTTAAAGTCTGCTATCAGCAATATTCCAGCTATGTGACTGCAGTCTGTAAATAATGAAGTCTGGGCCAGACGATCCAGTGATTGTTATCATGAGCATCGATCCACAAGTCTGGGCATGATACACAATCGACCAAGTCACCAAGACAAATACCATCTAGTCACTTTCAACCACTAGCTTTGACCGCTGGGGACCATTTAGTCACTTTCTACAACTAACTAAGGCTACCGGCAACATATTCTAACCCTGTTTTATTGAGTACTAAATATAGAAAGCGACATCTTGCCTCTTGACACAAGCTCAATCAAATAAGGGCCACCTGTGAGAATTTCCTTCCTCAGATTTTTCAGTTAGGAAAAGAGAAAAAAAATGATGACTCGTTCACTTCTTGCTACCACTAACTCCAAGCCCGATTATATGTTCTGGGTGGGTCATTTGCCCCAGTTCACAGCAAGGCCCACCTGCACAAAGTGATTGTAGCGCTACATCCACTATAACCCCTATACTACATAGGCTTACAATGGTCATAGCATTGTGACCCCTTTGTGAAGGTGAGCCCTGTCGTAGTCCATCCCAAATCACAGCAAGGCCCACCTGCACAAAGTGATTGTAGCGCTACATCCACTATAACTCCTATACTACATAGGCTTACAATGGTCATAGCATTGTGATCCCTTTGTGAAGGTGGGCCCTGTCGTAGTCCATCCCAATTCACAGCAAGGCCCACCTGCACAAAGTGACTGTAGCGCTACATCCACTATAACTCCTATACTACATAGGCTTATAATGGTCCTAGCATTGGGATCCCTTTGTGCTGGTGGGCCCTGTCGTAGTCCATCATCTAACTACAAAGCTGTCATATATTGTCTGCATCCATGCAGGTTACACACACCACAGGCGTACTGCTAGAATATACACGTCTACTATTGCCATGGTTACCAGACATGGTTCTAGAGGCTGCTGGAAGCACAAGCTAGACAGAGTTCTCCCCCCTACCATAGACAGAGATATATATGTGAAAGCTAATGTCCTGCATTACCACGAGAGTTTGCAGGAGCCAGGGTTCAACAACCCTGTAATCTTCTAGGGCAACTTGAGCCCATTTCTAGGGCACCTTTTAAACCCCCTTTCTTGGCAACTTGAACCCATTTCTTAGGCAACTATTTAACCACTTCTTGGCAACTTGAACCCATTTCTAGGGCAACTATTTAACCCCTTCTTGGCAACTTGAGCCCATTTCTAGAGCAATTTTTAACCCCCTTTCTTGGCAACTTGAGCCCATTACCAGGGCAACTATTTAACCCCCTTCTTAGCAACTTGAACCCATTTCTAAGGCAACTTTTTAACCCCCTTCTTGGAAACTTGAGCCCATTTCTAAGGCAACTTCTTAACCCCTTTTTGGCCACCTGAGCCCATTTCAAGGGCAACTTTTAACCCATTTTTTGGACAACTTGAACCCATTTCTGGAGCAGCCAGTTTTCCCTAAACTTATGACACAATAAACTCTACTGTATCAAATTCTACTGTTGTAGCGTAGTACATACTTATCTGAGTCAATCACATCTTTCCTGCTCTAATACAACATGAAGCTAGTCATCACAATACAAGAAGTGATTCGCAAAAAAAATAACATAGAAGAAAAGAAGAAGCTTACTTGACGTACTAGAGAATCTTTTCAATACATCTTTTCATTTAAATGTTCACAAGAAATGTTGGAATTTTTTCCTGAAGATCTAGATCAACAGTCACAGATGTATCAATATGCATATATGTCATTAGTAGGTGGTACACAAGACTCAGGTCATCCTCAAAGATCAGCATGCAGTTGTGTTTTGATATGCTACAAATGAGAATTTTTGAGAAACTTAAGATTCTGTAAACCAATTTGCAAACCAATTCTTAAAATATGCTGTGAGAGTTTCTGAACTGAATGACAACCTGAGTCTTGGTGCAAGTGTTTAACCCTCTCAGTTGGCATCTGATTGTAGTAACAGTAACACACATATCACTGATGTAACAGAAGCTATTCCAAATGCATAGCAACTGTGAGAAACAGTCAGATTCAAAACTAAATTTCACTCAATCATAATCAAAATTTCATCTACTAACATTAAATACAAAGTAAGTTTAAAATCCACTGAGAGGGTTAAAATGAGCAACAAATGACTACTGTTCAGTATATGCACAGTAAGGGCCGAGAGAGAAACGCCTCCAGCCCCTACCATGTATACGTGACACTAGGCAGGGCTGCTCTGGTTACACACATTCCCGGGACTACTAACATGAGGGGCGGCGTGTCCAGCGTGCGCGAGGTTTGTCACGTGTGTGGACTGCACCTGCTGCATGCTGCCCATCCCGAACATGGACTCCCCCTGCCCCCCGTCACGCAGCACCGCGGGGATCGCCACCGACCCAGACTGGGGGTGGGACACGTTGGAGGACTGGTGCTGGATGATGGTCGCCCTGCAACGTAGAAACACAGTTTAGTTGGTTGGTTGGTTGGTTTGTTGTTTAACGCTGCACTCAGCAATATTCCAGCTATATGACAGCTGTCTGTAAATAAACGAGTCTGGACCAGACAATCCAGTGATTGATATCATGAGCATCGATCCACGCAATTGGGAGTTGATGACATGCATCAACCAAGTCAGCGAGCCTGACCACCTGATCCCGTTAGTCGCCTTTTATGGCAAGCAGTCGCCTTTTATGGCAAGCATGGATTGCTGACGACCTATTCTATCCCGTATCTTCACAGTCGTACAGTAGGTGTGGTGTAGGCAAGGAGTACAGTGGTGTAGGTGTGATGTACAGGTATTGTGTATGTTTGGTCTATACATGGTGTCGATATGGTAAATGTGTGGTGTAGGCATGGTCTGCAAGTGTGGTATAAGCGTGGTGTAGGTGTGGGTGTGGCATCAGCAAGGTGCGGGCATGGTGTAGATGTGGGCGTGGTATGGGTGTGGTGTGGGCATGTTATCGGTGTGGTGTGGGCATGGTATCGGTGTGGTGTGGGCATGATATCAGCGTGGTGTGGGCATGGTATGGGCGTGGTATGGGCATGGTGTGGGTGTGGTGTGGGAGTGGTATGGGCGTGGTGTGGGTGTGGTGTGGGCGTGGTGTGGGTGAGGTGTGGGCGTCGTATCAGCATGGTGTGGGTGTGGTGTGGGTGTGGTATAGATGTGGGCATGGTGTAGGCGTGGTATCAGCGTGGTGTGGGCGTGGTGTGGGTGTGGTGTGGGCGTCGTATCAGCATGGTGTGGGTGTGGTGTGGGCGTGGTGTGGGTGTGGTGTAGGCGTGGTATCAGCGTGGTGTGGGCGTGGTGTGGGTGTGGTGTAGGCGTGGTATCAGCGTGGTGTGGGTGTGGTGTGGGCGTGGTATAGATGTGGGCATGGTGTAGGCGTGGTATCAGCGTGGTGTGGGTGTGGTGTGGGCGTGGTATCGGCGTGGTGTGGGTGTGGTGTGGGCGTGGTATCAGCGTGGTGTGGGTGTGGTGTGGGCGTGGTATCGTTGGGTATCGGCGTGGTGTAGATGTGGGCGTGGTGTAGGCGTGGTATCAGCGTGGTGTGGGTGTGGTGTGGGCGTGGTATCGGCATGGTGTAGATGTGGGCGTGGTGTAGGCGTGGTATCAGCATGGTGTGGGCGTGGTATCGGCGTGGTGTGGGCATGGTGTGGGCGTGGTATCGGCGTGGTGTGGGCATGGTGTAGGTGTAGACTCTGTGACTCACTTGGCCGGCAGTACGTTGTCCTCCATCATCATGGAGTTTTCATCTCCATCCAGACCGAGGTGGTCCTTTGCCTTTTTCTGAAAACATAAACAGTTATCATGACTGATGCCGATTTATAGTGCTAGCTCACTGAGATACCATGCCGCAGTTTAACATGAATACCCCACTCAGACACAGTATACTGACTCCGTGCCGACCTGTCCTTGACTTAATGTCAAGCGCCAGACAGGGTAACAACAAGTACCATCTTTTAACGTCTTTTGGTATGACGCAACCAGGGATCGAACACCGGACCTTACGCTCTCCGGGCGGACGCTCTACCACGGAGGAGGTTCCTGTTATGGAGCTGTATGATATAGAATACTACAGATCCGATCACATTTAGCAATCTTGAGGTCATAAAACATAGGGGGAAGTGGGAAACAGCAAGTCAGGAAATAGTACTTTACAAATAATCAATTCATAACCCGACAATCTTGTATAAACACATACATATTGTTTCTTTATTTACATGACCTACATGATCTTACAGATATTTAAACACACATCATTCCACTTTTAGGCAAATCACAACAGCCCTAGTTGAGTGATTGAGTTGGTTTAACAACGCTTCTAACAGTATTTCAGTCCTATCATGGCGTGTCAGCTTAATGTGGGAGAGAGCCCGAAGTGATATAGGTCTCTGACTTTACACTTTGTTGAAAGCCACAAGTACAGGCATGGTGCATCCCTAGTTGAGTGAGTGAGTGAGTGAGTGAGTTGGTTTAACAATGCTTCTAACAGTATTTCAGTCCTATCATGGCGTGTCAGCTTAATGTGGGAGAAAGCCTGAAGTGATGCAGGTCTCTGACTTTACAGCTCTGTTGAAAGCCACAAGCACGGGTATGGTGCATTCCTAGTTGCTGTGAGACTGACTCACCTTCCTGAGGATGATGTCGATGTAGCCAGCTATGAGCTGTGAGATCTGCTCCCCCTCCGTCGTCTGCACGGAGTAGTACGTGTCTGAGTAGTCTCCGAAGTCCTGCAGGATACAACACAAACAACTTCAACATTGACTGTTGTGTTTCTAGGTACAGACGCTACTGGGACAACAGTATTGTGATTATTGTCGGTGTGAAGAAACAAAATAATTAGTAACAATATCTCCAAACTGACAGTTCAAATAATATCAATACTATCATTTTTAGAAAAATCTAAAAGAAATGTTAACCAATATTCTACCATGAATTTGGAATTTACTCGATTGTGATTGGTCAATCAGAAGTTATTAAATAACAATAAACCCCCTCTGATTGAAACAGCTGGTTTGGCGGCCGCATCACAGCGGAAGCTAATATTCAAAGAATAGTCCTATTTTTCGGTCATTGTCGGTAGGCATGTTTAAATAATTATATCTACAATTACAAAATACACAGATGCGGTTACTACAATATTCAAAGGATGTGTGGCAATACATTTCGGCTTCTTTAATCCTGACAAGGCTATGATACTGGGGTTTAAAACACTAACAAAAGGCCAATGCCTCTGGAAGATTTATCGGCTCCTCCAAGCCTATAAGGCATGCTGTAACAGCAAGTACACGTTGTACTGACCAGGGTGAAGCTGTTGGGGGAGGCTGCCCATCTCCTCACGGTGGTCAGAGGCCAGGTCTTCATGATCTGAAACACAGTGGGAGAAACGGGTAGGGACAGTGGACACACAGCGGGCCCCGCCCCTCGGCCCCAGGTCTACCAGACATCAGGACATCCTACACAGAGTACTTCATGACAGGATTCAGAGAAACTATACACACTTGCAACAAGCTTGACGATCCCTGGTGCAGTGTGCTGAGTATTTATTGACTGTGTTGTTTGTTTGTTTGTCTGTCTGTTGGTTGGTTGGTTTTTCTTTGCCCAGCACTTAGCAATAATCCAGCAGAATGACATCAGACTGTAAATAATCTTGTCAAACCACACCACCAGTGATTGATACTATGAGCAACCAAGTCACAGAGCCGGACCACTCAGTCCATTTAGTCGCATGGTAATACAAGGGTGCTGGAGACCAATTCCAACCCATCCTGTCTACCTCTATTGTCTACCTCTATTGTCTACCCCACCTGTCTACCCCACCTGTCGACCCCTACTGTCAGACACACCCACCTCCTTGGTCTTCTCGTCCACACGCACCACGCTGTCCTTGGTGATGCCAAGCAGCCTCGGTACCAGCTTGTTCTTCCCCCTCATCTTCTCCTGCAACATCACCAACACCATTAACACCAACATCACCATTAACACCAACATCACCATTAACACCAACATCACCATTAACACCACTGACACCATGTCACATTAGTATTTGTTTGTTGTTTAACGCTGGTCTGTTAATATTCGAATGTTGTGTTACACCAATCAGTAGTTCTCTAGCCATGTGAGCATGGCAGTGTGATGTACCAAGTTCTAGTTAGGTTGTGTGAACTATCTATGTAATATCATGTGTCACCTAAATGTAGGAGGAAAGCCTGAGGGATGCAGGTCTCAGATGTTTACCACTTTGATGAAACCCACAAGCACGGGAATGATGTTGTGAAACACAAAACAATGTTCAGGACAAATCTGGGATTCTATCCCATGATCACATTTTCCGGCACACCAAAGTGACACATCTACGCACCGTATATTCTGGCGCCTTAGATGACTGACCGACCACGTCCTCATGATGAAACCGTTACATCTGCATCAGTAACGTCATCCAGTGCTACATCCACTACTGTTGTTTGCAGGGTTAGAAACTAACATTTTTCGTCCACTAGTCCTTATAATGATAACATATAGCAAAACCCTTAAAAAGGGCAAATTTCTACTAGTCCTTATGATACCTTTACCACTGGGCAGTTTGGCAAGCACTATAGGACCAGTGCCAATTTCTAACGCTGTTGCTTGGTGATCAGACAAAATGTCAACAGGAATTAATATCACGTTAATAAAGATTCTTTAAAAGCCAAATAGACTAAAGACTAATCACTTTCAAGTCACACTGACCTTGACAAGGAAGAAGGTGATGCCGTAGGTCTTGAGGGAGCGACACAAGTGGGTGTACTTGACCTTTGACTCAATCTCCGACATGCTGGCCCACTTCTTGTGTTCCTGAAACAGCACCAGTCAAGTGAGAAACCAGATAGGACATCTAATGGGGGATGCTCACAAATACATTGAGCAGTAGATTTCTACATCCTTGTAACATGACACATAGCCTCTTGGCTGTCTGTCTACAGTCTCACATGAGTGCAAGTGTTTGTAATTAAAGGGGAGTCTGGGGTCCTTGATGTCTTCCCCTATGGTATTTGAATCTTGGGAGCCTCTAAATCTTTAACCATCACACAGACTTACTGGACCTGTCAGAGGCCAACAATCGGCCCCAAGTCTGAAGAAAATGTCAATAACAATTCACAAACTAGAACCAAACATTTGCCAAATCCTGTTATGGTTGGTTGGTTGGTTGGTTCTTTTACGACGCACTCAGCATTATTCCAGCTATATGACGGCGGTCTGTAAATAATCCAGTCTGGACCAGACAATCCAGTGATTGACATCATGAGCATTGATCTTCGCAATTTGGATCAATGACATGCATCAACCAAATCAGCGAGCCTGACTGCCCGATCCCGTCAATCGCCTTTTACGACAAGCAGTCACCTTTTACTGCAAGCATGGGTTGCTGAAGACCTATTCTACCCTGGATCTTCACGGGTTCCTGTTATGGAGGCGGCTTATATTTCACAGATAACAGGACCAATAGACAAGAAGAGGCTTCAATGACTAATTTGACTTTGCATACACCAGAATTTAAAAAAAATAATAAAAAAGGGATTGTGTTGAAATAAGTTAGTGCTTCTCTCTGATCTGTATCTCGAAGTGTTGGTGGGATGGCTGCTTGGTTACTTACAATGTAAATCTTCTTTTCAACTCCTTTGATTTTCATGTATTCTTTCGGCAGGAATTCTTTCAAGCTGGAACAAGATGTGGCATGTTAAGATAGTGTCACAGTTACAGTGACAAAAGCAAAGCAACTAACGCTTCCATCAGTCCATCAGAGTTAAAGAGTCTTGAGGACATTGGTTAGAGGTATGTATGCATGATGGTTGTTTAACGCTGCACTGCAATATTCCAGCTATATGACAGCTGTCTGTAGATTGTCCAGTCTGGACCTCACAGTACAGAGATCGATATTGTGAGTAAAGAGTTACAGTAAAGGGAGGTAACTACTCACTCGAGGAAGCCCGGTCTGTGTTTGGAGTCGACGTGGTCCCCGAACTGTATCTGACACTGCAAGCCTGCAAACTGTATAGCTTCTTCCTGACTCACGGGGTGGGTGCCGTTCAGCAGGGCGTCACGGGACTGGGGAGACAACACCATCACAGTCAGGAACATCGTCTACTGCACTTTACTAGGCCACGAAAGTAGTCTCGGGGCAGAGGCTCTATCAACTAAACCACAAACCTTGTCTCTGGGCAGAGGCTCTATCCACTAGACCAAGGAGGTAGTCTCTGGGCAGAGGCTCTATCCACTAGACCATGGAGGTAGTCTCTGGGCAGAGGCTCTATCCACTAGACCATGGAGGTAGTCTCTGGGCAGAGGCTCTATCCACTAGACCACAAAGGTAGTCTCTGGGCAGAGGCTCTATCCACTAGACCACAAAGGTAGTCTCTGGGCAGAGGCTCTATCCACTAGACCATGGAGGTAGTCTCTTGGCAGAGGCTCTATCCACTAGACCACAAAGGCAGTCTCTGGGCAGAGGCTCTATCCACTAGACCACAAAGGTAGTCTGGGGGCAGAGGCTCTATCCACTAGACCACAAAGGTAGTCTCTGGGCAGAGGCTCTATCCACTAGACCATGGAGGTAGTCTCTGGGCAGAGGCTCTATCCACTAGACCATGGAGGTAGTCTCTGGGCAGAGGCTCTATCCACTAGACCACAAAGGTAGTCTCTGGGCAGAGGCTCTATCCACTAGACCACAAAGGTAGTCTCTGGGCAGAGGCTCTATCCACTAGACCATGGAGGTAGTCTCTTGGCAGAGGCTCTATCCACTAGACCACAAAGGCAGTCTCTGGGCAGAGGCTCTATCCACTAGACCACAAAGGTAGTCTGGGGGCAGAGGCTCTATCCACTAGACCACAAAGGTAGTCTCTGGGCAGAGGCTCTATCCACTAGACCACGAAGGTAGTCTCCAGGGCAGAGGCTCTATCCACTAGACCACAAAGGTAGTCTCCAGGGCAGAGGCTCTATCCACTAGACCACGAAGGTAGACCGTGGGCAGAGGCTCTATCCACTAGACCATGGAGGTAGTCTTTGGGCAGAGGCTCTTTCCACTAGACCACAAATGTTGTCTCCGGACAGAGGCTCTATCCACTAGACCAAGGAGTAGTCTCTGGGCAGAGGCTCTATCCACAAGACCACAAAGGTTGTCTAGGGGCAAAGGCTCTATCCACTAGACCACAAAGGTAGTCTCTGGGCAGAGGCTCTATCCACTAGACCACAAAGGTAGTCTCTGGGCAGAGGCTCTATCCACTAGACCACGAAGGTAGTCACCGGGGAGAGGCTCTATCCACTAGACCACGGAGGTAGTCTCTGGGCAGAGGCTCTATCCACTAGACCACGAAGGAAGTCTCTGGGCAGAGGCTCTATCCACTAGACCACGAAGGTAGTCACCGGGGAGAGGCTCTATCCACTAGACCACGGAGGTAGTCTCTGGGCAGAGGCTCTATCCACTAGACCACGAAGGAAGTCTCTGGGCAGAGGCTCTATCCACTAGACCACGAAGGAAGTCTCTGGGCAGAGGCTCTATCCGCTAGACCATGAAGGTAGTCTCTGGGCAGAGGCTCTATCCACTAGACCACGAAGGTAGTCTCTGGGCAGAGGCTCTATCCACTAGACCACAAAGGTAGTCTCTGGGCAGAGGCTCTATCCACAAGACCACAAAGTTTGTCTAGGGGCAGAGTCTCTATCCACTAGACCACGATGGTTCTCTAGGGGCAGAGGCTCTATCCACTAGACCACGGAGGTTGTCTCACATATAAACAAGAACAGCATGTCTGCCATTGAATACTGCCTAAGAAACCATCTCTGTAAGAGTCTAGTATAACATGGCATAATAATTAAGATGACTGACGACAGCGATCTTCCTACACAGGTGTGGAACTAGAAGCTCACCTGGACATAGAGGAGGTTAAGTTGGACGGGGTCACGGGCGTCGACGTTCTGATCAGAGAAGAAGAACTTCCTCCTCAGCAGCAGTATCTCGTTTGGGTCGATGCCCTGCTCCCTCAGTGTCTTACTGTGGTCTAGCCAGTTCACTGGAACAGAACGAAGCAGTCAGTACACACTTCAGTGAAACCCACGAGCACAGGTATGGTGCTGACAAACCTAGAAACCTAATTCGATTCGAACACACAATCATAGGTTTCTGGCGTGCCCAAGGGATGCAACTCTGCACATTGAATCGCGGCGCCTTAGACGACTGGGCAACCAGTTGTTATTAAGGACTACCATGGATAGATATTTACTTGCCCTTAGGCCTGGGTATCAATGTAGATCATTCAGATCGATAATTGCTTACTAAACATTGATCAATTATCGTTAAATATCTGAAAAGCAGCTTTTAGCAAATATGCATGAAAATCCCAAAAGAAATCAACATATTTCACGCCACTGGTGAGCAGTGACACATTTAGGCATGGATTACTTTGTGGACATGTGAGAAACAACAATTGCTTTTGGTCTTCGACTATTGACACTAGTGATGATAACAAGTCTGTTTCCGTAAATCTTAACTTTTTTCATCACAATTGTTGATGTAAGTTATTATTGATGACAATTTCATATCGATAATCATTAATATTTCTTCCCATCAACGACAATTCTGATTACCAAGCTGATTAGAAAGCCCTACTTGTCCTCAGCACAATTTAGATAGATCAGTTTCCCCTCGTATTGTGGGCTGTGGCCTACTTTCTGTTGCTATTCATTGAACACACTATCGTGAATTCTCAAGGCTGCAAGTAGTGCAGGGACAGTTTTCTCAGTGTTCAAAATTAACTATGAAAGTCAAGGGGTCCTTGTCATAGCCCAAGTGTTAACAGCCACAGATTTAGGAGACCATAGATACTAGAGGGACAGGGACAGACCTCAAACAACACAGGACCCCTTAATGTTGAACACTGTTACTGATAGATCAGTTTAACCTAGTATTGTGGGCTGAGGCCTTCCTTCTGATGCAATTCATTGAACAGACTATCGTGAATTTGGAAGGGTGTACAAGCTAGTAGGAACTACAGTTCAGGTTGGTCTCTCCTGTTCCGTGCAGGACACCCTCCATCATGATACTCCATCATGCAGACTTACTTTCATCATGATACTCCATCATGCAGACTTACTTTCATCATGATACTCCATCATGCAGACTTACTTTCATCATGATACTCCATCATGCAGACTTACTTTCATCATGATACTCCATCATGCAGACTTACTTTCATCATGATACTCCATCATGCAGACTTACTTCCATCATGATACTCCATCATGCAGACTTACTTTCATCATGATACTCCATCATGCAGACTTACTTCCATCATGATACTCCATCATGCAGACTTACTTTCATCATGATACTCCATCATGCAGACTCACTTTCATCATGATACTCCATCATGCAGACTCACTTTGATCATGACACTCCATCATGCAGACTTACTTTCATCATGATACTCCATCATGCAGACTTACTTTCATCATGATACTCCATCATGCAGACTTACTTTCATCATGATACTCCATCATGCAGACTTACTTTCATCATGATACTCCATCATGCAGACTTACTTTCATCATGATACTCCATCATGCAGACTTACTTTCATCATCGGTGTGGAGTTTCTTCTTCATCTCCTCCAGTTTCTTCTGGTCCTTAGCGATGGACTTGTCTCTCTTCAGCGTCAGCGTCTTCTCCTTCTCGTCGTCAGGCAGGTCCCGCACCAGGGAGTACTCCTCGTGGTTGGTGATACCTGCCACAGTGAGTGAGTGAGTGAGTCGGTGGGTGAGTGAGTGAGTGAGTGAGCCAGTGAGTGAGTGAGTGAGCCAGTGAGTGAGTGAGTGAGTGAGTGAGTGAGTGAGTGAGTGAGTGAGTGAGTGAGTGAGTGGGTCAGTCAGTCAGTCAGTCAGTCAGTCAGTCAGTCAGTCAGTTTGGTTAACACCACCTTGAACAATGTTTCAGGTTTATCAGTGTGTCTGCTTAATGTGGGAGGAAAGCCTGAACTGATTCTAGTGTAAGATGTTTACCACTCTCCTGAAACCCACAAGGAACAGTCAGTGTTTGTTTGTTTGTTTGTTTGTTTGTTTGTTTGTTTATTTAACGTCACACTCAGCAATATTCCAGCTACATGACGGCAGACTGTAATCCCCACATGGACATGGACCTGAGTAGAAGACGGAACTCACCCATCCTGGTGCAGATGGTGATCATGAGCTGCCCCACGGTGTGGCTGTCATCCACCTGCAGGGTCTTCAGAGCCCCGTCCAGCGTCCGCACCTTCAGGATACGCTGCTTCTTCTTGTACTCCAGCAGATCCTGCAACAACAACACCATCAGTTACAATATCAACATCATCATCATCAGTTACAACATCAACATCATCAGTAACAGTCTCAGCAAAAAGTCTGCGACATAAGCAACTGGTACGAAGGCCCAGTCTTGTCGTATTTCTTGTCTTTTAGGTTCAGGTAAATTAGCCAATATATGTCAACACAGAAATCTACTGAAAATGATGCCATATGACAAGTTCTGGTCAGTAGATTGAAACGTGTCTGGCATAGACTGCTGTATGTGGGATAAACTCCTCTTCGACTGACACTCTTCAACAAAGATTGACTTATATCAATCCACACATTCCACAACACATCCACAACAAATACCATTCTCCCTCTCACAGCCAACTCCACTCAGTGAAATGAGGGTGTTCTGTTCTAAAACTTGCACCGATCACAAGACCAACCAAGGCTTGTGAACAGCAAACACTTACTGTTGAGTGACAAAATGCAATTTATAAATACCAGCTACTTCATTCATATTTTAGTTTGACATGACAATGGTGTAGAACAATGGTTGGTCCGGAAGCAGGTGCCCTCCAGGAAATCCTCTAGTATTGTCATACATATATATCTCTTCCTCAAGCCAATGTTAGTCACTGCTGCTTATAGATCTACACGTAGGACGACCCGTGAAGATTCCGGGGTAGAATAGGTCTTCAGCAACCCATGCTTGCTGTAAAAGGCGACTATGCTTGTCGTAAAAGGCGACTAACGGGATCGGGTGGTCAGGCTCGCTGACTTGGTTGATACATGTCATCGATCCCAATTGCGGGGATGGATGCTCATGTATCAATCACTGGATTGTCTGGTCCAGATTGATTATATACAGACCGCCATCATATAGCTGGAATATTGCTGAGTGCGGTGTTAAACAACAACAAAACAAACATGTACGACAGCAAATCAGCTAAATGAAGTACTTGTGTTAGGAGATGGTCAGGACTCAATCTTCCTTCACGTGTTGTGATTAATTTGTTCTAACCTCAAGGGTTCATATAGAATCCTTTGCAAGCAAATTGGGAAACAAGTATTATGATTGACATTGGATTTGTCATGCAACTCGTGAAAATATCTCCTTTCCCCCGTCACTCGGTGAGAGAAACATGATATTTCACTCGACACATGAAATATCCTCTATTTCCTTTTTACTGGTGAGGTTTTATCAGTGAATTGCAAGGCACATCGGCCAAGCCATCACATTAGTTAAAACTATATCAACATGACTTGGGGATAGTTCTGATTCCTTTGTGAGACTTTTTAAGGGACATCTGCTGCAGACTTGGGCCAAATATTGGTCTGAGAGAGGGTTTAGAAAAAGATTCTGAACCTGTCATTGATCTTAATCATCAGTGGTAGAAACTCTCATCATAAGTCCAGTAGAAATAAACATGAGTTTGTTTGTTTGTTTGTTGCTAAACACCCTACTCAGCAATATTCCAGCCATATGATGGCAGGCTGTAAATAATCGAGTCTGGACCAGACAATACAGTGATTGATATCATGAGCATAGATCCAATTGGGATACGATCACATGCACCAACCAAGTTAGCGGGCCTGACCGAGATCCTAGTAGTCACCTGACATGACAAGAAGCTAGCATGAGTAAGTGAGTGAGATTTGATTAACGCCGCTTTGAACAGTATTCCAGTTATATCATGGCATGTCAGCTTGATGTCACATTGTGACAAATTAGCATATAGCTTCATTCAGTAGATTTTAGTGTCATTGGAATATCATTAGCTGAGAATACTCGACAGAAAGAACAGGATCGGAGGTCAGGCTTGCCAACTTTGATGCATACCCGTCTATAACGGTCTCTTTCAATTAGCCACTGCATTAATACAGAGTGACCGCTAGCACAGTGAGAACTATTCATTGTTTGACCAATAAATCAGGTCTTCAGCAACCCATACTTGCCGAAAAAGGCGACTTTGCTTGTCGAAAATGGCGATTAACGGGAGAGGGCAGTCAGGCTCGCTGTCTTAGTTGATGCATGTCATTGATCCCAATTGCGTAGATCGATGCTCATGATGTCAATCACTGGATTGACTCAGTTATTTTACAGACCGCCGTCACATAGCTGGAATATTGCTGTGTTCGGCATTAAACAACAAACAAACAAACAAACAAACAAACAAACAAACAAATAAATCAGAGACAGTCATCGCTGCTGAGACATCACTTAGTGTGGAGAATTATTGATGGAAGTTTTCCATCTCCTGATCACCTGCCTTCCAGACCCACTGGCAAACTATTATTGTGTTTGTCATTTACCGCTTCACTGAATAGTAGTCCAGCAAAATTATGGCTGTCTATAAATAAGCAAGACTAGAAACCCTTTGATTGATATCATGAGCAACGATTCATGCAAAATCTTGACAAGCAATCAACCAAGACTAGAGCCTGGCGAACCAATCCATTAAGTCGCCACTTACAACAAGCTGAGGTTACTGGGGACCTATACTTTTAACAAGTCCTTGTTTTGGTGAAAAAGAGTAGATGCGACTTGTAGGAAAAAAATATTTGTGCCGTTTTCGTCAGAGCATGTGTACCGTACTGAAATGTTGATATTTCTCTTTGTTTTAAAATGATAATAATTGAACACCTGAAAGAAATAATGAGTTCCTACACATTAGAAAACAAGAAAAGAAAAGCTAATCCCAAACAAAAATCCTGCTAAACACACACGCACACACACACACACGCACGCACGCACGCACACACCCACCCACACACCCCCACACACACACACTCACACACACACACCTTGAAAATCCAATAATTGCTCCCCAACCAGTCAAACTCACTGCTGCACAAATTAACATGAAGTTTAAATGGCCATAGCAGATTTGGAAAAATACCTAACATGCCACATTTCTATGTTTACATGACATGCATCAAATGTATTACTCCCAATGTAACACTGATGAACTACTCCTACAACACCTGGCATTCATATTAATCAATGGTCATAAAAGATAAGGTTTCGCTGTGGAGCTTCCACTAAACACTATCACCATGTTTCTGTCTTGACACTTTGTTGTATACATGTCTGTAATTCTGTCTCTATATCCTGTGTTTAACTTCTTTCATGTCATTTTCTGGTAACAATTTCCCCAGTGCTAAAGCACTTGTCACAACCAAGATGTCCTTACACAACATGTCAATATTCATAACATGGAAACTTTACAAAATAAATCAAGAGTTTCTCTCATTTCAGACAAAAAAAATTGCAGACAGAGTATGTAAAATACAGCTGTAATGTTTATGGCAGATGTAAGAAGCAGACGCAGAGAGCAGACGCAGAGAGCAGACGCAGAGAGCAGACGCCAGATGGTTGTCTGTCTGACAGTGGAGAACATGTATGGACACAGACATGGAGTAATCGGCTATCCTGTATCAATAAACCTACTCATGGTATATCTATTACTGTCAATTATCATTCATTACAAAATAAAGATTTCAGCAGTGACAGACTACTTTGTGTAGGATGGAAGCCAGACATAACAGGAGTAGAACATGTTATCTTCAATTAGTAAATCCTGCACACTTGTTCACTTGCTCACATTAATTGTATTTTTCTTTCATCATGATACAGCCATTACTGAAATGGAATACCAACAGCTTAGCAATAATGTAGATATTAAAACTGAGTGAGTCGCACTCAACTCAAAGTCAGCCAATATATGTTGGCTACATCCACAGAACAGCTAAACTGGTGCATGAAATTGAGAGTAGGGCTGGGATGATACACCAACTGTGCGATACAATACGTATCAGGATACATTGTTCATGATCCGATACGTATCCAAACACTTGCATGTGCTCTTATCTGTGGTGCGTTAGATGGCTTATGCACCACAGATAAGAGCACATGCAAAGCTACGTATCAGATTGAGAACAAGAATCGTGATATGTATCGGATCCCACACTTGTTGTATCGTCCCACCCCTATTTGTTACTTCACTTAAATCGGTTGCGAAGCTAGAACTGCCTGAACACCTACCCCATTCCGCAGCAGGTAGTACTCCAAGCTGCGACCTTGCTCCAGCCATACTCCTTTCTTTGGGTCCTCGTCAGCCAGAAAAAGTCCAAAGTCTGTGTCTGCAACAAAACCAGATTGTGAAACCTAAAAACTACAGCTGGAACTGTGTCCTCAACCTACAGCTGGAACTGTGCCCTCAACCTACAGCTGGAACTGTGTCCTCAACCTACAGCTGGAACTGTACCCTCAACCTACAGCTGGAACTGTACCCTCAACCTACAGCTGGAACTGTGCCCTCAACCTACAGCTGGAACTGAGCGCTCAACTGTACCCTCATTAGGAGTCATACAGGGTCAAGTCCAGTGACACCCAGCTGAATTCCTTTTGTTTAACAGACATGTTCTCATTACACAGTGTCCCACTACCCTCATCCCACACACCGAAACAGGGAAACAGTCAACACTGAGAACACCCTTCCAGTTATTGATGAAGAAAGCAGTCCTGGTGGCAAATACTAATTGCAGGTCATGTTACCCACAAGCACGAAATCAACCTTTAGTGTTGACAACAATGTGTCTTGTTTGTTAGTCAAAGCCACACTCAGTAATATCCCAGCTATATGACTGTGGCCTGTAAAAATATTGTTTCTAGACCAGACAATCCAGTGATCAATACAGTAAGCAACAATCCATGCCGGCCAGCCTGCCCATGGCTGGTAACTTTTCTGTCAGGCTGCATGAAATTTTCCTCCACCTGCCTGACTCTCTGGCAGATACTTAAGACTACTTATGTATTCAGTTTTATCATAACTCCTTATAGAATCTCAAGTAATTGTTTGCATTATTTCAACTGAATCACAACATTTTGTCTCTTCATTAGTTCTAACAATTTTTCAATATTTATAATGCCTGAATGCGGGCAGGTCACTTTGAAGATGAACTTTAAAAATTATGTCGAACCACCAAATCTGTTTGGTTCCCTAGGTTGCTGGGGATCTATTCTAACCCGGAATGTCCTAGCATGTTGTCAATCCCAGTAGTAGCCATGTTTGTATGTTTGCTGTTTAACACAGCACTCAGCAAGATCTCAACTTTATGACGATGGCCTGTAAGTAATCGAGTGGACAGACAATCTGGTGGTTCATATTAGGAGCAATGATCCATGGTGTCAGGGTGAGATGATACACTATCAACCAAGTCACCTGACCACCAGATCCATTTAGTCGCTCTTACAACCAGCATAGGTTGGTACCTAACAACACATACTGTCACAGTCACCAGAATAACAAGTTCTTGTTAAAGATAACACCTGTCTAACTGCTTTGTTTGGAGTCATATATTTCATGACTAGTAGAGGGACGATGCATCTCCCCATCTCCCTACTTCTCCACCTCACTGCTTCTCCAACTCCAAACTAACTGATTTCCATTAACTGACCACCACTCCCTGCTTCTCAACCTCTCCACCTCTGAAAGAGCTGTCTTAAAAAGCAACAAATTTGGTGCACAAACAGTTTAAGTTTATATTGCCCTAGCAATGTTTAACAAGAGCAGTCTTTAAAAAGACAAAATGTGCACAGACTGCTTAGAAAGATAAAGGATGAGCAATGTGAACAAGAATTCTACTCTGAAAAGAGAAATGTGCAGATAGCTTTGTGGTAAAAATAGCTAACTGACTACTTCAGTTTAGAATACAAAGGAGTCTCTCTGGAATAATTATCTGATAATATGTTATTGCAAAATGGAAGTGTCTGTTGAAAACATTTTGAACCAATCAACATTGGTCAAAAGCTGACAAAGCTATACTGAAAGCAGTTAAAATATTAAGCCAGTTTGTCTGAATCTAACACATTTTAACAATGAAACAGGTAAATATATTATGATGTTATGGCTGAAACAATTGACACCTACAACTAGGGTCCAAAATTTCCTCAAAGTAAGAACACTGTTAAGAGACACATTCAATCATGAATGTTGCTTTGTGTAGTGGACATGTCATCAGACATTTATTAGGGGCCACTGACTTTGTCACACTTGATTACCTTACAAAAAATCTGCCATTATGACATGACACAAAACTTGAGTGACATATCATGAAATAAACTTAGTGGTACTCATGCAAAGTGAATATCCAGGAAATCATCATGCAAAATTCACCAACTTTCCTCCCCAGCTGATGCAGTCATATAACTGAAATACTGATCAAAGCAGACATTACCTGAAATACTGATCAAAGCAGACATAACTGAAATACTGATCAAAGCGGACGTGACAGAAATGAGGGAAGTGAAATACTCTTTAAAGCATCAGTTTAATGGAATGAAGTCATATGTATGAAGTCTTATGCATGCAGGCATTGTTGGGAATGGGGTGAGGTGAAATGGGGTTTAACGTTGCGTCCAAGATTATTGCAGTTATATAGCGGTGTGTGTGTGTGTGTGTGTGTGTGTGTGTGTGTGTGTGTGTGTGTGTGTGTGTGTGTGTGTGTGTGTGTGTGTGTGTGTGTGTGTGTGTGTGTTAACATGAATACCCCACTCAGACACAGTATACTGACTACGACCTGGCAAGTACTTGTTTTTGCTCCGTAATGCCCAGCGCCAGACAGGGTTACAACAAGTACCATCTTTTAACGTCTTTTGGTATGACGCGGCCTGGAATCGACCCCCAGACCTTCTGCTGTACGGGCGGACGCTCTACCACTAGAACACGGAGGCAGTGTCAAGCCAAGCCAAGCCAAGCCAAGCCAAGCCAAGCCAAGCCAAGCCAAGCCAAGCCAAGCCAAGCTCTGAGTGTCAATGGATGTAGACACAATATTGAGAGTGTAAATGGCTGATGTAACATTGAAAATAAGACTTAAAGCTTCTGTGCATGTCCAAGGATACAACATCGGTAACTTTTTGGAAATCAAGTGAAGCATGCCCTGTGCTGCTAGCCTGGTGCCCCATGTGAATGACTCAGACCCAAATAATTTATGACTGAGAGTCCCCGGACTAAAAACATAGATAGACCCAGGTAGGTCCCTGGTGAACAGTTCAATTCTCCTTCGGAAATGGGGAATCCCTATGTTTGAAAACTTACGATGACAAGCAGTAATGAGGTAGAGGTAATAAAGTTGTATTCAGCATTTTGGACAAAATAAGGTGGCTCCTGTAAGCTGTATGACAATATCAGGTAGACAGAAGACAGCCAGCAATGACCTAACCAATATATATATGGCATTGATGGCTGTCTTCTGTCTACCTGATATATATATATATATATATATATATATATATATATATATATATATATATATATATATATATATTCACATTTGATGGTGTTGGAGTTGGTGAAAATAATTGTCATGTGCAGTGTGACATTTAAACAGACAGTCACATGCCTCTAGTCACCATATAAGACAGTTGAGTGGCTTACATGATAGAGCTATGACTAGTGGGGAAACAATTCATATATGTACATTCCAACATATACAAAGTGCAAAAACTATATATTCTGATATTGATTTCAGCACCTGCTACACTAATGTATGACCGCTATACCAATTGCTAGGATCGATGCTCATGATATCAATCACTGGATTTTCAGGTCCGGACTCGATTATTTACAGAACGCAGTCATATAGCTGGACTATTACTGAGTGCGGCGTAAACCAACCAACCAACCAACCAACCAACCAACCAACCAACCAACCAACCAACCAACCAACATCAACGCTTTGACGAAACCAAGATGAAAGTATCAGAACACATATCATGTTTATGGGGTATTCATTGAAAAATGTCTTGCGTTTGACATATGATGGCAAAAGTACATCAAGATACTCCTGGGTCAAAAAATGAATAACAGGACTCTTACATATATGTCTTGCGTTTGACATATGATGGCAAAAGTACATCAAGATACTCCTGGGTCAAAAAATGAATAACAGGACTCTTACATATATGTCTTGCGTTTGACATATGATGGCAAAAGTACATCAAGATACTCCTGGGTCAAAAAATGAATAACAGGACTCTTACATATATGTCAGCCAATCCTGTAACAGGATACAAACAGTATTGTCACCTGTGTATACACACTGTTAACCCCAAAGGCACTGAGTTGATATTGCAAGAGGGTACGTACATGGTGTATAGTATTATCACAAGTGTTACACCTTACTTGCACAAGCCTAAAAGGAAATGTTTACTGTATAAATAATATGAACATGTTGTGCCTATGAAAGGCATCCTTAGAGTATTGTCTGCTAATCTAGACTTGCCTTATAAAAGTATAGAATTACTATACATGCACAGGTTTATCATTCAGACAGACTGAGAGCAAGGCTATGGGTTGATATAGCAATATACACATGGACATACATGAAAAGCGGGCTGAAACAGTTTTCCCGGTACACACACACTTGTACTTTGACAGGTACAACGTGGTCAAGTCTCTCATAAGACACTGCACTTAAAGAAAAATATGTGAAACCTCCCAAGCAAGTCTATATTGCCTTGCCAAATCTAGATTTTTCCTGAAAATGAAGATATTCTACTTTGTATGGTGTGTTACAAGGCAATCTAAACTAAAAATGTAAACATACTTTCATTTCAGAGACCAAATGTTAGTACCATATTCGCTGTAGTAAGTGCCCAAGGGGCATGGAAAATTTACAAAGAGTGTGTTTACTAAAACAAGGCACAACAAGTAAAGTTTGTTGTCAGAGATATAAAGGTAGAGAAAAAACTTAGTTCAAACATTGGTGACACCAAACCTGGTTTGATATAGTTGTACATTGCTGTACATTGCTGTAATATACACAAGTAAATAGGATCTGATCACGTATATGTTTCACTGGAGCGGCATGTTTTTTAGGTCGAATATGGTGGCTAGCATTAGTATAAACATCACCTACCTTACACAATCTTCAATCTAGAAGGAGGTTGTGTCAGGCGGCACAGTCATCTTGGTGAGGGGTCTGCAACAATGTCCAACACAATGAGCACAACTAATTCTTAGCCAAATGAACGAAAATATACCATAATTACTATATTAAATATTAATATTCTGATACCATGAAAACTGACTGCTGCGTGGTCTTGTGGTAGAGCGTCCACCCGGACAGCGGAAGGT